AGCGTAATATAGATGGTTATAACCACAAGATGTTTTATGTAAGCGTCATAATAACCAAAAGGCAATACTGATAGAAGATACACAAAAGAAAATTTGAAAGGAATCAAAGCATGACACTAAAAAAAAAAAATCACTTAAGCATAAAGGAAGACAGTAAGAGAGAAAAAGAGAGAGAAAAGAGACACAGGACAAATAGAAAACAATTAACAAAATGATAACAGTAAGTCCTTCCCTATCAATAATTATTTTAGATATAAATGCATTAAACTCCCCAATCAAAAGATACAGAGTGGCTGAATGTATAAACATAATCCAACTATATGCTGTCTATAAGAGAGTCACTTTAAATTTAAGGCTGAAAGTGAAGTATGGAAAAAGACATTCCATGCAAATGGTAGCCAAAAGAAAGCAGGGGTGGCCATAATCATATCAGACAAAAGAGACTTTAAGTCAAAAATTCAAGCAGGATATAAAAATATAAAGTGAAAACACCTGAAAGCCTACTATCTTGTGATAATTCTTAGTATTTTTTAAACCATATTTTAACATATATACATGTAAATAACAGAGATGTATTTTATAGTTTTAACAAGATCTTCATTGGTTACCTATCAGTTTCTCCTTTGTACATACACCTTCACAAGTTCCTACAGTCCCCCAACGTAGAACATATTAAAAATCTGGTGTATATATCCCACATCTTTCTCCATGTTCATACAGTCACATATATATAAATACACACAGTTATATATTCAATTCCTATTTTTTTAAATTTCATCACAGATAAACTAATACTTATAACTGATGAGGAATATATCAAAATAACAGTAAACAATTGTGTAAATATAACCCAGTTTAAGAAATACAATACATGAAATAACTTTTTGTTGTTGTTAGAACAACTCAGCAAAATAAAATTCTGGTTTATTGTTGGACAGCATTGTTCCACACATACATCAAATGGGCCAAAGAAAATAAACAGAAACTTCATAGGCAAAAAAGGAAAAAAAAGAAACCTTTTACCTTTGGCCTTTTTAACCATCTCATAGAAACCAACTACTTATAGCACAGCTAAGTACATACACACCAAAAAATTACTGACGTGCTCGGAATAAGATTTTTTGTTGTTGTTTTGCCTTTTTTTTTTTTTTACAAGGTTTTATTTTCTTCTTTGAGATTATAATGAATATGGTCACACCATAAGTAAAGTCAGAAGTAGGGCAGAGAACACTCAGAAGGCTAGTCTGGTCATCCGAGATCACTAAAAATGGCTGATCCCTAACAGTATGTAAAAATATATAAATATAAAGTACAAATTTCCCCTTTTGAAATACTTTTAAGAAAAAAAGCAGGGCCTTGGAATTGTTGGTTCTTTTTTTCTTCCCTGTTTGCAGATTCCTGTTGTGGTTTTGGGTGGGGGTTGGATTGAGTGTGTCATCTGTAGGTGGCGCTGCCGACATGGGGTGTGGGCAGGTGGGACCCTCCACTTGAAAGTGACCACGTTTATTTTTTTTTAAAGATTTTTGATTTACTTATTTGACAGAGAAAGAGATAGCGAGAGCAGGAACACAAGCAGGGGGAGTGGGAGAGGGAGAAGCAGGCTTCCCGTGGAGCAGGGAGCCTGATGTGGGGCTTAATCCCAGGACCCTGGGATCAGGACCTGAGCTGAAGGCAGACATTTGACTGAGCCAGCCAGCTGCCCTGAAAGTGACCACGTTTAGAGTCTGAGATGGGAAGTGGGCAGGTGGGGTGAATAGATCATGGTAGCCTTTGTTGTTGTTAAGTTTAACTTTTTCTTTTTTGCTGTCCAATCATCCTCATAGGTCTTCTGTTCCTTGGTGTCGACATCATCATACTCATCATCTTCAGCTGCCTGTGTGTATTCCTAGCTGCCTAAGCCTCCCCATCTTCCTCTCTATCCTCTTCTTCATCATCACCTTCCTATTCCTCCTCCTCTTCCTCCTGCTCCCTTTTACCTCTTCTTCATTTATCTTGTTGGTCTCCTGCTCCCCATTTTCCTCAGGAGCTTTCCCATTAGCAGGTGCATCTCTTCCATTCTCTGCCTCCTCCACAATTCTCCTGTTAAGTCCTTGGTGGTAATCTCGGAGGTGGTGTCCACGGCTGTCTCTGACATGACCTGGCATGCCGGTGATCCAATGCAGTGGATTAAAAAGAAAGCAAGAGTTGGAGGGCTCTGGCGATGAAGCTGCTGGAGTCTGTGGTGGTGGAGGTGTGTGGCAGAGGTGATTACCGCGAATCCAGAGCTGGACACAGGAACAATGCAAAGATGGCATTTCAGAGCAGCCAGTGGGGTCATGAGATAACTTTGAATCCCTCTGCAAACTTATCTTTTCATGTTTCCTCCTCTCTGAACTTACCACATTCCTGAATTTTATTTACCATATCCTTGTTTTCCATTATCTTCCACTTAAGCACAAGTATCATTTATTTTGCTTCTTTCTAAAATTTTATGAATGGAACACACTCTATATTTCTATGGCTCTTGTTCATCATATGTTAGAGTCAGTAATTTTCACTGCTGTGTACTATGCCAATGTAAAAGTACTCCACCTAATTATCCATCCTTTTTTTTATGTTAATCACCATACATTACATCATCAGTTTTTGATATAGTGTTCCATGATTCATTATTTGCATATAACACCCAGTGCTCCATGCAGAACGTGCCCTCTTTAATACCCATCACCAGGCTAACCCATCCTCCCACCCCCCTCCCCTCTAGAACCCTCAGTTTGTTTTTCAGAGTCCATCGTCTCTCATTCCATCCTACTTTTGATGGGCATGTTTCATTTCTAGATTCGTTACTGCAATGATATTAGCAAAACCAATGTAACTGTGTTTTATGACAGAGAAAGCATTTAAGGATTTTTAGCTGTGATGAAGCCAGTTAGGATGAAACAAAAGAGAGACATTTGGAGGAGAAACAACAAAAAAAGGTCAGAAAAAAACCATTTTTCCCCCCAGGAACATTTGGTAGTTTGTTCTGAAATTGTGATAGACAAGGAATTTTATCTTCTTCCCTCATACTACATCCATTTGCCCTTCATATATTTTTATCTACCATTTCAGGTCTGAAGAAAAAGTGTCAGAAATGTCAGAAGAAATACAAATATTTAGGTTCAAAATTGCCAACTGCAACAAAGGAATCAGGCACTGTTCAGGAAATGGTATCCTGGTTTTTGTTTACTCAGAATATGACAAAATGTAATTATCACTTTTTGAATAAGACAAGTAGTGTTTTTTTTTTTTTCAAAGATTTTATTTATTTATTCATTAGAGACAAAGAGAGGCAGAGGGAGAAGCAGGCTCCCAAGGAGCAGGGAGCCCGATGCGGGACTCGATCCCAGGACCCTGAGATCATGACCTGAGCCGAAAGCAGACGCTTAACCATCTGAGCCACCCAGGCGCCCAAGACAAGTAGTGTTCTGATAGACTAATTATGCAGTTTCAAACAGGTTCCTTGCCTTGCATGACCTATAAACTAGGATATCTGATTCCCTAATGCTGGGCTCTGCTCTAATCTACCTGCTTCCACAAGTAGGAAATTATTTCCTTAGTCCAGGGTTTTCAAAGTTATCTGGTTAAGTATCCTTAACACTACAGAAGATTGGAAACCTACAGCAGCCACTCCATGACTGGATGTTACTTTGATTTCTTGTTTCATCTTTTTAAAAAAAGATTTTATTTATTTGTCAGAGAGAGAGTGGCAGGCAGAGGGAGAAGCAGGCTCCCCACTAAGCAAGGAGCCTGATACGGGGCTCGATCCCAGGACCCTGGGATCATGACCTGAGCTGAAGGCAGACACTTAACTGACTGAGCCACCCAGGCATCCCTATTTCTTCTTTCTTTTAAAATGTTGATTTGCATTCTTTCCAATAAAACAGCATTGGTTCATTATAAAATATCATTATAAAATCATTTGGTAAATAAATTGCAACTATTTTTCTGCATCACAAATTTGATGCTCCAAGATGTAATAACACTATTTTATAGATAATGAAACTGTGGAAATAATGAAACTCACTATCCTAACACAGTCACAATTATCCAGGCATATATAGTGATTGGCAGTCAGATAATCAAACTAACACCGCACTGTCTTTCGATCTCAGCTGGACAGTGATCCACTTTCATAATCATCATAGTATGCACACAAAAGGAAAGTCTATAAAAAAAACCTCACAGATACTAAGTCGTTCTCGGTTACTGATATTAACACACAATGTCACACATCTCGTCTCTCAGTCCAAACAAAGAGACCTTTGCATATGATCACAATATCAATCCATGACCACGTATTGTTGCTATTCAACAGTGGTATGTAATTTCTAACACAAACCGCCTTACACCTAAGGAAACAAAGATTCACACTAGCACAAACTATCCCATGAATGTAAACAACTCCACTCAAGGTCCCACTCACCGAATTGGACCCACAAACTCACCCAGAGGAAGACGCACCCATCTGTTCAACTGCCAGACCCTGCTCCAGTCTCTCGTAATCTAGATAAGCTCGCGGCCTAGCTCATTCCCACGGACCTCAATTGAGATGTTCCCGCTCACTGAAGCCTAAGTCCCTGGTCGCCGCCCCCGTCCCCCCCGCCGCCCTCCGCCCCCTTCCCGTCTCCACCTCCTCTGGAGTCCAGAATGCGTTCCTCAGCCTTCCTTGAGAACCATTCATCAAAGACCACAACCATTCATCAAAGATGTTGTTTGACAACAACATAAAAGACAATTGAGCTGCGAGGTTCGCCGAGCCGAGACCTACTCCCTGCAGCAAAGACTAGAACGAACTCCGGGTTGACTTTGGAAAAAGCGCCTTTGCTACGCGTAGCCGACTTGCATGCTGGGAGCAGCCTAAGGGTCCAGGGTCCCAGCTTCCGGGGATTTGCCCGCCGCGGACTACATTTCCCAGAAGTCCCCGGGCACAGGTCTTCTTGGGGCGGGGCGAGTTTGCCCGCGGAGACCTCTTTGGATGGCCAGATTCCCAGCCTCCCAGGACGTTCCGGCTCTTACTTCCCATAAGCCTGTGGGTCCGTTTCCGGTGTCCTGAAGGTTTTTGGACTCGGCGAGTTGAGGTGCTCGCGTCGGGGGAAGTAATCAGCGCCGGGTCAGAACCGGCAGCGAGGGTGGGGGTGACTCCGGGCAGCGCCCGAGTTGAGGAGGCCCGGGTCGCGGACAGGGCATGTCGCGTTCGGAGCCTCCAGCCTGTGTGCGCGCGAGCGGTTGCGAAGGATGGTGTGCGACGGCCGGCGTGGCCGGGCCGGGGTGTGTCTCCGTGATTGTGTTTGCGATTGGGAATGTGTGATGGGGTGATGAGGTGCGTGGCCTTGTGGTTTTTCCTTGGCCGTTTGTGCTCCAGGTTCCCTCTAGACTTTCTTGGGGCTTGCCAAAGTTAAGTGACCGCAAGAGAAGGAGTCCTACGCTAAGAAGGCATAGGTCCAGGCTTGGGAGGAGCATTGTACATCCGGAAGTGTGCTCATGACTTGCTCCTAGGAAGACGTGATGGGGAGGTCCCAGAGGTGAGATCCCTAGAAGGGGCGCGCCTGGGAACTCCTTGGGAGCCAGCTACCTGTTTCAGGGCCGCTGCAACCAGACCTCTGTCCCCAACAGTTGCTGTCAGCTCAGAGAGAGAGTCCAGCCTTCCTTTCAATTCCATGTGGTTTTGTGTGGATGAAGGCACATATGACTCTAGACGGCGTTTTGGTTTTTGTTTTGTTTTGTTTTTAAGTTAGGTCTGTGTTCCAAGAAATGTTGGTGTCTCATGATTCTTTTTTTCCCCCTACTGCTGCCGGGTTTTTAAGAAGCACCCTGAGGAGGAGGCAAGAACTGTTGCATATTTTGAAATCAAGGTTCAGGTGAGTGTGTGTTTCTTTCTTTTTTCCCCCCACACAATTACTTTTGTTTTTAGATCATGGGAATATTTGCTTTCCTTGGCCTGCAATATCACTGGTAGTGTCTATCCTGGGTTTTCCTTCTGGTGAATGACCCACCCTACTCATGTATCTCTCTTCTCAGTGACCCTCTATTGCCCCTATTCTCAGTCAGTAGCTAGCTGTTCAAATGGCAAATTATTCAAATCCTTCGGTGCATTCTCCTTTTCTGAGTATGCTGATGTGTAGAAATACACCTCCTAGAGATTAGTGTTAGAGTTTTATTTTAGGCTATGATTACTTGAGGAGGTTGGTATTTAGGTGGTATCATGTGCAAACTATTTTCTGTCTTCTCCACAGTCATGATTTTTAAATCAAGGCACGGTAGAAGGATTGTTTCAGTTAATAAATGACAGTGTTGTGAGGCTTTTAGGGTGTGGGAATGTGGTTGGTCTTTGAGCATAGGGGTTTGCAGTTTGCACCAACAAGGACAGAAACTTTCAGATAATCTTTAGGTAGAAATCTGTAACATTGCTAACAAGAGTTATTTCAGGTCCCGCTTTGTGAGTGTTGTAGAAGCGGTACTGTGTTACGGTTAAGAGTAAGGTTCTGGACCTAGAGCATCTGTATTCAAATCCTGGCTCTACCTGTTACTAGCTCTGTGAGCTTAGGTGACTCAGGCTCTCTGTGTCACATCTACAAAATAAAGGCAAAATAATGCCTACCTCATGGGGGTTATAACGATATAAAATGAGTCAATGTGTGTAAAGCTCCTTAGAACAGGGCCTGCCCCATGATACAGGCTTAGTGAATATTAAGATTTGCTGTTACATGGTGATTCTGGATCATTTCACATCAACTTTTTATGATTGAAATTTGAGAGAAATATGAAGACGATTGTGATGGGTGCTTTCAAGTTTAAAAAAGTGACCAGATGCTCAAATGGTCTAGTACAGGAAGTCTTAACCTGAGGTCTTGTTCCATTTATGAGCTGCCAGGTGATTGCAAACCCCTTGAAATTGAGGCAGAATTTTTGTAAATATTTGTAAATTTATTTTTTTAAGTGGGCAAAATGTCTATAATTTCATTAGATTGTCAAGTGTACATGACCCAGAAAAGGTCTAGCTTCATTGGTCTGGAATTAAGATTTAATAGCTGGGAAGGAACTTTTACAAAATTAGGGTCCAGTGATATGGAAACAGTTAAGTAAATTGCAGTATATCCTGTAATGGAATAATGTGCACCTAATAAAAATTATGCCTATAAAGAATCAAAAGAAGGAAAAATGTAAATAATAAAATATTAAGTAGTACTTGTAGTAATGAACAAAAGTCCCCAAGATTATGATGAGTTATATAAGAATCCCGTTCAGTGAAAGAAAGTTTTGAAAGACATTTTTCAGGAATTGTATCCAAAATGTTTTTTAATTGACTCTTCAGTGAAGAAGTGGAGAGGTGTAGCCACACTTGTTGAGCATCTGTTCTGTACCAGATATTGTTCTGTTTATGTGCATATATTTCCTTCTTCCGACTTTGAAGGTGACTTACATAATTGGTGTTCATTGTGGGGAGATTTTTTTTTTAAGATGTTTATTTATTTATTTGACAGAGAGAGAGAGACAGCGAGAGAGGGAGCACAAGCAGGGGGAGTGGGAGAGGGAGAAGCAGGCTTCCCGCCAAGCAGCGAGCCCGATGTGGGGCTCGATCCCAGGACCCTGGGATCATGACCCGAGCCGAAGGCAGACGCCCAACAGCTGAGCCACCCAGGCGCCCCTTCTTTTTTTTTTTTTTTAAAGATTTCATTTATTTATTTTTGTGAGACAGATAGAGTGGGGGGGCGAGCTTAAGCTGGGGGGAGGGGCAGAGGGAGAAGCAGACTCCCCCCTGAACAGGGAGCCCGATGCAGGACTTGATCCCAAAGGCAGATACTTAACTGACTGAGCCACCCAGGTGCCCATTACAAGGGAATCTTGACAGTGAAGGTGTCTCAGTGTAGTGGTGAGCTACAGCTACAGATGTTCAACAGCTAGTAGGTGTACTTTGTTTCTGGCACACTGATTTTCAGTGTTGGGTCTGTTTTTTCAATTTTCTTAATGGCTAAAAGATGCTCCTTCCCTATCATTCAATTTTTTACATTTGGAAATATCTTTGTATTTCTGATTATGAAATTAATATAGGTTTGTTGCAAAAAATTCAACAACCCAGGAAACATATAGAGAAGGAAGTTAAAATTACATCCTCTAAAGTTAATCATTCTTTTTTTTTTTTTTAAAGATTTTATTTATTTATTTGAGAGAGAGAGAATGAGAGACAGAGCGTGAGAGGGAGGAGGGTCAGAGGGAGAAGCAGACTCCCTGCTGAGCAGGGAGCCCGATGCGGGACTCGATCCCGGGACTCCAGGATCATGACCTGAGCCGAAGGCAGTCGCTTAACCAATTGAGCCACCCAGGCGCCCCTCAGTTTACATTTTTTTTGTGTGAGCCTATGTGTCTGGTTTTGTTTCTGCAGAATAAGATAACAGTAATTGGTGATACAGTTGAGTTGAAGACTCTCTAGCTCTTATTTTGAAGAAGAAGAAATCCAACCCAGATGTGGGTTTTATTTTAATCTTGAATATGTAGAAAGAAGAGGGAAGTGTCAGTGATTTCTTATTTAAAAACCTGAAGTATTAACAACTTTTAGGCATATAGAAACACCATTTAAAAATTAGTTATAAGGGCGACAAAGTCAGACTTTCAGAATTAGATTATTTTAAAGGTTCCTTCCATAGAAAGTAGTGATAATTTTCCAGTGTATATGTTCTGTCTTATGAAAATCTATTTTATAGGGGTGCCTGGGTGGCTCAGTGGGTTAAGCGTCTGCCTTCAGCTCAGGTCATGATCCCTGGGTCCTGGGATCGAGTCCCGCATCGGACTCCCTGCTCAGCAGGGAGCCTGCTTCTCCCTCTCCCTCTGCTACTTTTTTTCTCTCTCTCTCTATCAAATAAATAAATAAAAATCTTTTCAAAAAAAGGTGTTTAAAAAAAAAAGAAAATCTATTTTATAAATAATATTTCCAAAGACAGATACTAATTCCAGAAGGTAGAATAAGAAGGTTGTAGTGATCAATATTCAAATAAACCACCAATTTGCACAGAACAAGATTGCATCTCTGGTTAATGTTCTCTTGACATCTAATTGGGTAATATTTTCTGAGCCAGCTTTATAATGCTGAGTCCTATCTCTGTTTGCCGCTTCTGGGAGGAGGGGATATCTCCTGTATGTCTTTCTGAGACCCTGTTTTGCTTATGTTGTTATTTAGGAAGAATAGCAAGCTCAAGGCTGGGCTGTGAAACTTTAGTTAACTTTGTAAGAAAATAGGCCTGGGGGCACCTGGGTGGCTCAGTTCGTTAAGCGTCTGCCTTCGGCTCAGGTCATGATCCTGGAGTCCCGGGATCAAGTCCCGCATCGGGCTCTCTGCTCAGCCACGGGCCTGCTTCTCCCTCTCCCACTCCCCCTGCTTGTGATCCTTCTCTCACTGTGTCTCTCTCTGTCAAATAAATAAAATCTTTAAAAAAAAAGAAAGAAAATAGGCCTGAAAAGTACAGATTTTATTATGAAAAAATGGAAAGGGGCGTTAACTTTCTTTAGAATAAGGGACAACAATCTTTTGCATCTTTAATAACGGCTAATTGTTGGACACCTGTTGTTGTTATTTTTGTTGTTGTTGTTTTAAGTAATCTCTGCACCCAACGTGGGGCTCAAACTCATAACCCTGAGATTGAAAGCCACATGCTCCTATGAAGGAGCCAGCCATGCGCCCCTATTGTACACCAATATTTTTTGTGGATTTTCTTACATAATCGTCAATGCAGCCCTCTGTGGTAGACAATGTTCCTATTCGTCTTTTTTTTTTTTTAAAGATTTTTATTTATTTATTTAACAGAGAGAGAGAGAGAGAGAGCACAAGTAGGCAGAGCAGTAGGCAGAGGGAGAGGGAGAAGCAGGCTCCCTGCCGAGCAAGGAGCCCCATGTGGGGCTAGATCCCAGGACCCTGGGATCATGACCTGAGCCGAAGGCAGACCCTTAACTGAGCCACCCAGGCACCCCTCTATTCGTCTTTTATTGGCAAGGAAATAGAAGTGTTGAGAAATTGGTCACTGTCAAGCCCACTTTCACATCTTGAAAGTCCAACACCAGAGTTTTTATCTTAATTTCAGATACACTTCCCACATTGTGTATACTTTACAAACCTGCCTGCCTCCCTAAGGAATTGATTATGTGTGTCTATGGTCTAATACCATCAAACTAATGAGGACATAGCAGGCCACAATCTAGCAAATCATTTGCTTACTGTTAGGTAGTTTCTGATTCTGTTATCATAAATGATTTTTGGTTGAATATTCTTTTTCTTTTTTTAATTTTATTATGTTATGTTAGTCACCATACGTGATTAGTTATTGATGTGGTGATCCACGATCCATTGTTTTCGTATAACACCCAGTGCTCCATGCAGTATGTGCCCTCCTTAATACCCATCACTGGGCTAACCAACCCCCCCACCCCCCTCCCCTATAAAACCCTGTTTGTTTCTCAGAGTCCATAGTCTCTCATGGTTCATCTTTCCCTCTGATTTACACCCCCTTCATTTTCCCCTTCCTTCTCCTAATGTCCTCCCTGCTATTCCTTATGTTCCACAAATAAGTGAAACTGTATGATAATTGACTTTCTCTGCTTGACTTATTTCACTTAGCATAATCTCCTCCAGTCCCATCCATGTTGATATAAAATTTGGGTATTCATCCTTTCTGATGGCTGAGTAATATTCCATTGTATATATGGACCACATCTTCTTTATCCATTCATCTGTTGAAGGGCATCTTGGCTCTTTCCACAGTTTGGCTATTGTGAACATTGCTGCTATGAACACTGGGGTGCATATGGCCCTTCTTTTCACTACATCTGTGTCTTTGGGGTCAATACCCAGTAGTGCAATTGCTGGGTCATAGGGTAGCTCTATTTTTAAATTTTTGAGGAACCTCCACACTGTTTTCCAAAGTGGCTGTACCAACTTGCATTCCCACCAACAGTGTAAGAGGGTTCTCCTTTCTCCACAACCTCTCCAACATTTGTTGTTTCTTTCCCTGTCCATTTTTGCCATTCTGACTGGTGTAAGGTGGTATCTCAGTGTGGTTTTGATTTGAATTTCCCTGATGGCTAATGATGATGAACATTTTTTCATGTGTCTGTTAGCCATTTGTATGTCTTCTTCAGAGAAGTGTCTTTTCATATCTTCTGCCCACTTTTTGACTTGATTATTTGTTTTTTGGGTGTTGAGTTTGAGAATTTCTTTTTTTTTTTTTTTTTTTTTTAAGATTTTATTAATTTATTTGAGACAGAGAGAATGAGAGACAGAAAGCATGAGAGGGAGGAGGGTCAGAGGGAGAAGCAGACTCCCTGCCGAGCAGGGAGCCCGATGCGGGACTCCAGGACCATGACCTGAGCCGAAGGCAGTTGCTTAACCAACTGAGCCACCCAGGCGCCCGAGTTTGAGAAGTTCTTTATAGATCTTGGATACCAGCCCTTTCTCTGTAGTGTCATTTGCAAATATCTTCTCCCATTCTGTGGGTTGCCTCTTTGTTTTGTTGACTGTTTCCTTTGCTGTGCAGAAGATTTTTATCTTGATGAAGTCCCAAAAGTTCATTTTTGCTTTTGTTTCACTTGCCTTTGGAGATGTATCTTGAAAGAAGTTACTGTGGGCAATGTCAAAGAGGTTACTGCCTATGTTCTCCTCTAGGATTTTGATGGATTCCTGTCTCACATTGAGGTCTTTCATCCATTTTGAGTTTATCTTTGTGTATGGTGTTAGAGAATGGTCAAGTTTCAATCTTCTGCAGGTGGCTGTCCAATTTTCCCAGCACCATTTATTGAAGAGACTGTCTTTTTCCCATTGCATGTTTTTTCCTGCTTTGTTGAAGATTATTTGGCCATAGAGTTGAGGGTCTCCATATCTGGGTTCTCTATTCTGTTCCATTGGTCTGTATGTCCTAAAATTTGTATGGAATCAGAAAAGACCCTGAATCGCCAAGGAAATGTTGAAAAAGAAAAACAAAGCTGGGGACATCACGTTGCCCAATTTCAAGCTATATTACAAAGCTGTGATCACCAAGACAGCATGGTACTGGCACAAAATATTCTTTTTTTTAAAGATTTATTTATTTATTTTAGAGAGAGAGCATAAGTGGGAGGGCAGAAGGAGAGGGAGAGAGAATCTCCACACTGTGCTGAGTGTGGAGCCCGAGGTGGAGCTCAGCCCCATGATCATGAGATCATGACCTGAGCTGAAACCAAGAGTCGGACAGTTAACCGACTGTGCCACTCAGGTGCCCCTGGGTGAATATTCATGTATATACATCTATACTTCTTTAACTGTTTAAGGATACCGTTCCGTAAGGGAATTTTGGGTAAAAATTTGCCCCAATTTTAAGAGCCTGAGATAGTACTTGGGAGGTAATAACAATAACTGAAAGACATGGTTGTTACCTTTAAGACAAGGAAGACTAGGGGCGCCTGGGTGGCTCAGTTGGTTGGGCGACTGCCTTCGGCTCAGGTCATGATCCTGGAGTCCCTGGATCGAGTCCCGCATCGGGCTTCCTGCTCGGCAGGGAGTCTGCTTCTCCCTCTGACCCTCCCCTCTCTCATGTGCTCTCTCTCATTCTCTCTCTCTCAAATAAATAAATAAAATCTTTAAAAAAAAAAAAAAAAAAAAAAGACAAGGAAGACTAAATCTACATAGGAATAACTAGGCTGCCAGCAACAAAGGCCAATAAGCAATTCAGGCAACCTGTCTTAAGAACTCATAGGAAGGTAATTATAGGAAATACTGTTGGGTCATGACCAGCTTTTTGGAGGCAAATGGAATTTGTCCTGAGTTTTATACCTTACAGGTTTTATCCTACTAATGTTTGTTGCTAAGTGAGACTAACAGGATCAGGTGATTCAGCAGTTATCGGGAGAGTAACATGTCTAAAAAGACAGGTCAGATACAAAATAAACCCATGTGTCAGAAGACGTGAAAAGAAAGAGGCTTGCGATCTCATCAATATATCCATGACATTTCTTGGGGAATTTTAGCCATTTTTTTCTAGGCAGGACATGAGTGTATATAGAAATTATGTAGTTAGTATAATGCATGGCCCTGGTTACAACAACTCTACAGATACTTAAACAAAAAGAACATTATTACCACAATAAAAACTTTATTGTATATACACCTATAACTCCTAAACACTTTTTTCATCTATCGACATCTGATTGTCAATCTTTTCTATATTGATATACACATATACTTTATAAATATAATCATACTATACATTCTGAAAGCTATATTTTTTCCTTTTTTTCTTATGTTCAATTAGCCAACATATAATACATCATTAGTTTTTGATGTAGTAAGCTATATATTCTATTGACAGTATATCTTGATTATTTTCCCCAACTTAGCGTGGTTTTATAGCATTTCATTGCATGGATGTTCTGAATGCATTAAGAGGTCAGCTTTTGGGGCTCAGGCAATTGTACATCCTGTCCACTACTGTGTCTTGACCAACTTTCTTCAGCCCCAAGCCTGTGAAGGATGTTCTGGCTCGGACCATGTGCCTCTTTCTCAGCCCTGAGAAGTGGCACTGGTGGGAGGAGGATCCTATCTGGGCAGCACTCAGTAGTCCAACCTCTGGCCCATATCAGCATCCCCAGAATCAGGCATTGCCAGAAACCTTCCTACTGAAGGACGTTTGGGTTTTAGGTGAGAGTTTAGATTCCACAGATGGTTGTGGGGGTGTGGAGTAGAAGCGGGAATAGAAGAGATAAAAGTTTATATTAGCTTAAGTCAAGATGGGATCACTTAAGCACACCTGGTCTAAAGCTTTTTTTTTCCTTCCCCAGCTCTGGCTTTTCTGGATTCTGTGCTTCACCAATCGAGGAACCCCATGGATTATTAATTAGTTCTTGCAGTTCTAGAACCATGACTGATGTAAGTTGTTATTTCTCTGTCCTTGAAATACTGTGATTTTTAGGTCATATGAATCTTCTCCTTAATTGTCCTAAAGCTTTCTGCATAACAGAACCCCAGTCCTGAACCTGCTTCTCAGTTCCTATTCCAGTAAAGGATAGTGCCAAATAGCCCAGTGTCCTTCCCATGTGCCTTTCCAATCAATGTCATCATATCATTGAACACATTATTCAACATCTGTGTGCTCAGTCTTCTATCAAAAACAGTGAAGGGATAGGAGTCTTTTGAGGGAAATACTTGAGCTCCTGTCAAAGAATAACTCAAAGAAATATAATTAACAGTTAGCACATTTTCACTTGTATACAAGGAAAACCAAGAGTAGATTGATTTCATCTATCAAGGCACAAACAGGATTTCTATAAGGGAAGGAGAAAAGAGAGAATGAAAGACTATAGACATTTTGAAAACAACAGTTACTCCTTTTTCAGGTTAAGGTGCTGATTGGCAGGCATCTAGGAAAGAAACCAGTCAGGATACAATGCCCTTAGACAGCTGGATGGTCATCCAAGAGAACGCTTTCAGTTGCTTGTGCCTTCTCTGGAAGAGCTTTGGTGTTTACTTAGGACATATCCACAGCAGGCTGTCTTGGGTAGTGCCCTTTGTTATCACCTCTGTCTTTTTTCCACTAGGGCTGTACGAGTTTCCTTATCAGAATTTCTTATTCTTGTGTCGGGTCTGTGAGGTGATGGTTCAGTGATGAGGGTCTCATTTGACCACACAGTCAAACTTGGAACTTCTTCACAGACCCGGGTTTCCCAGAGAGAGAAGATGGAATTTGGGTTTTCTTGGTCCCAGCCTCAGTTTCTGTGAGGCTTTGCAAGGCTTTTAGGATGAGGGGCCTTGTGAGTGGGTCTTTCCAGGGAAAGTGGTTCCCTAATCAATGAATACCAGTGTTAAGTTCATTTGGTTAATGACTAGGATGCACAGATACTGGGTGATACCTGTGTCATATATGTTGTGCCCTTTTCAATGGTCTCCAACTCAGGAATGAGGAAAAGTGTTAGGTGAGGGGTGGTTGATGGTAACAACTAAGAAGGTGATCTGGATTTCTAAATACTGGATGATAATAGATTCCTAGAATGAAGAAAATAGAATTTTTGTCCAACCTCACTGTATAAATACAGTAGAGATATTAATCTCATGTATCTATATGATGATCTGAATTACAGCTAATAAAAACTTCTTATGTATTCATCATTATAAGAGAAAAGACTTATGGAATCTAACAGTGATTTACTTGAGGCTTAACAGTAATCCTTAATTTAATGGAAATCATTTTTCTCAAATAGAGATTTTATAGTGCATTTGGGGAAAAAAAGTTTTATTTTGTTTTTTTGTATTCCTTGAAAGTTGGTGCAGCAGGTCACGTTAATGAAGAATTTATGAGGCAGGCACATAGCAAGTTGTGTGTATGTATACACACTCATCAACAGCCTTCCCCCACCCCCACTATTTGTATTTAATAGAAGAAAAAAAAAAATAGAAGAGAAACTGGGATTATTTTATAGATTACCAGACAGGTCTAGTTATTTCCCAATATCCTAGAAGTTTTTTTCTGTTGTAACAAGATTCTTCTAGAACACGTAGACACTCTGCTTTAGCCATACGAATTTCTTTACTTTTCCCTACCTGTATATATCACAGGCTTCCAGCCTACTTGATTGTTATATTTTCCTCTTCTTGCAGTTTATCCTTCACAATCCTTTTTTTCTCCTCTTGGAAATATTTTCTTAAATCCTGAAATTTCTTGAATTTCACAAGTAATGTATGGGTTTTTGGTTTTAGGGCTTGGTGACTTTCAGGGATGTGGCCATCGACTTCTCTCAGGAGGAGTGGGAGTGCCTGGACCCTGCTCAGAGAGACTTGTACATGGATGTGATGTTGGAGAACTATAGTAACTTGGTCTCATTGGGTAAGGTCATCTGCCTGAAATATTTTAGAGTCTGTCTCTGCACCATCGGCTTTTGCTATGGGAATGATAGGGCTGTCTTTGAAGAAACCAGGTGAATCTCTTCTCCCTGTGCTCAAAGGGATGTTTTGATATTTGTTGGATTAGAAATGGGTTCTTCAAGCTCCTTCCTCTTCCCATACCTTCACGAACCTTCCTGTGGCTTTTCCTGCAGTGGCCTCTCTTCTTTAATAACTAAGGAGCTGGATTTGCATTATGGAGCATTTAATTCATAACCATTGTCAAAGAAACCAGGTTTCATACAATGTTTAACTTTAGCATATCTAGAGATGATCTGTGACCTTGCTACTCAAAGTGTGGTTGTTTTGAGAAACCGTAGGAAGGCCAGAGCAGAGTTAGTGAAGGAGATGATACCAAGAAGTTAGTGAAGGAGCTAGATAAGGCCCAGGTGATAGGCAATTTTGTTGGTTTGGAGGAGGAATGTGGATTGTTTTCTCAGTGATTAGAAGCCTTCATGTGGTTTATGTGGGGTTTTAGCTTTTTTTATTGTTGAGTATTACATACTTAACATCAGCTTCTTCTGGGGCTTTTTAGGTCCTACCCTAGACCGTCAGAAGAGAGTCTGCATTTACACAAGATCCCCAGGTGATTGTTATACACATTAAAGAAACACTGCTCTTTGTTATTTTTTGACCAAAATGCGGGGAGTACAGCTAGAAACAGGGTCTTGATGTACTGTGACTTTGCAAAGAGCCTCTCCATTTTATGTAGAGGAGGATTGGATAAACAGAATTCATTTTATACTAAGTGAACAAATTACTTTTCAACATATTTGAGGTTGAAAGTTGCAATCTGTGAACTTTGCATTTTACAAAGTTAAATTCGACACTGAATTAAATACTAAAAATGTCTCATGAAACTCCTTTTTTTTTTTTTTTAAGATTTTTTATTTATTTATTTGACAGAGAGAGAGATAGCGAGAGCAGGAACACAAGCAGGGGGAGTGGGAGAGGGAGAAGCAGGCTTCCTGCCGAGCAGGGGGCCCGATGTGGGACTCGATCCCAGGACCCTGGGATCATGACCTGAGCCGAAGGCAGCCGCCCAACGACTGAGCCACCCAGGCGCCCCGGAACTCCTTTTTTGTTAGCAAAATAACAACAGTAATAATACTAATCCTAATACTTAACACTGTGCTTACTATAAACCAGGCTGTGTTTTAAGCAGAGCAGATACTTTAGCTTATTTAACTTTAACAACATCCCCATGAGGCAGGTAATGTTTTTGTCAAACCCTTTTTATAGATGAGAATACAGAGACACATACAGTGTAAGTGACTTCCCAGGGTCACACAGCTACTGGGAGAAGTAGTTGCAATTGAGCCTGTAAGGAGGTCTGGCTCATGAGTCTGTGTTCGCAACCACTGTTTTCTATTTGCTCCAAAGTGAAGGCACCTGAATGAATAGAACAAGATCATTTTCCTACTGATGTGATCTCATGCTTTTCATTTCCATCATACTTCCCTTCTGTGAAGTCTTTATCAATATTATTTTTACTTTTTATTGCAAATTTAACCAAATGTTTTGAGCTCATCATTTAAAAAAAAAAAGTCTATACCATTTAGCATTTCTTTTCTTGCAAGCAGACACTCCATTTCTCAGTTGGATGTGACATTATGGGAGCAAGGACAAGAGTCCTGGATGGTTATGAGGGGAGGGCCAAGAAGTTGGAACCCAGGAAGGCAAAGGCAGGAGGGAACCATCATTGCAGGGAACCAACCTTACGGGTCACACAGGAGGAGGAGAAACAGGTGGGATGGTGTTTGGAAAACTCCCTACGAAGGACCAAGGCCTCTGGAGGGAGGAAACTGAGATCTCATTTTGGGCTACCAAACAAACTTTCATCTGATCTCATTTCTTACTCTTTGATTTTCTTCTCGTATTTCCCTCCCATTTCAGCAAGGAAGGCATTCTCTTCTGTTTCTGGTGCAGCCATTCTACTTCTATGTCGGATTCAGCTGCTTTCCAGCACTTTTGCATTTCTGCAAGTGTATGAATGAATAAATGTATTCATTCATAAGTTCTGCAAATATTTTGACTGCCTGCTTCTAGCCAGGCATTGTATTGGGCACTATCGATACAGTCATGCATAACATTGATAACTTGCCCATTCTCAAATGCAGTTTTATGTAGTCAAAAAGAAACTGAAAATAAGTAAATAAATAAGTACATAAATACTGTCATATAATGAAACATATTGGTTAAAGAAGGTAAAGAGCATAAGAGAATAGAAAATGATAGAAATCGATAGGCCTAATTTAGATAAGATGGTCAGGGAAAGCTTTCTTGAATAGAAACATGAAAACTGGGATCAAATTTTATGACTATTTGGGGGAGGAATATATCTGTCACAGTGAACAGTAAATGCAAAGGCTCAGTGGTTGCAAAGAAACTGTTGGAATTGTAAGAAGGCCAGGGCAGAGTTAGTAAAGGAGCGTAAAGAAATTAGGTTGGTGAGATAGGTGAGGGCTCAGTAATACAGTTTTTTTGTTGTTGTTTTAGGGTTTTGGGTTATGTAGCCTTTCAGTCTGAAAGAGTTCATACATCTTTCCTTGACTTGCATTCCTAGCTGCTTTTGAAGATTATAGGCCAGTTATTTTGTAGAGTGTCCCTCATTTGAGTTTGTCTGCACTTTTCTTCATGATTAGACTTAGATTTATGCATCTTTGGCAGTAATATCACAGAATTGATGCTGTGTTCTTGCATTCTGTCAGGTAATGCAAATGGTTTGTCATTACTGATGATACTTTGAGCACTTGATTAGGTTAGTATCTGCTGGCTTCCTCCTTGTAAAAAAAAATTTTTTTTTAAAGATTTATTTATTTATTTATTTGACAGAGAGAGAGAGAGAAAGCACAAGTAGGCAGAGCAGCAGGCAGAGAGAGAGGGAGAAGCAGGCTCTCCACTGAGCAGGGACCCCGACACAGGGCCCAATCCCAGAACCCTGGGATCATGACCCAAGCCAAAGGCAGACTCCTAACCAACTGAGCCACCCAGGCACCCTTCCTCCTTGTAAAATTAATAATTTTTCCTTTAATGGATATTTTTTGAGGAGGAACTTGGAAACTATTAAATATATCTCTCCAAATTTTCTATTTATTTATATATTGGATCTTTAGTTGGTGGGTTGTAAGCTGTTCTTACTTATTTTGAAGTTCAAAATATTTGAGCTTGTCCCAGATTTGATCTATGGGAACCCTCTCCTGAGGCTTCTGTGTCCTTTGGCACAACTCTGTTACTCATTGAGCATCTCCTTATTTTCTGACAACAGCATGTTGGCTCATCTTGTACTTTCCCTGCTCCAGTCCTAAAGTCAACCATTTCTTCAAGGTGGCCTAGTTTCTTTTAGTCGAGAATGGTAGTTAGAAGCCAATATTTTCATACTAGGGTTGCTCATTGCTGTTGGGAGATGGCTGCTCCCAAGTCTCTGAGTGGTCAGAGCTAGGAAATACACTTATATACATACATACATGTGTACACACACATTTACATCTGTGTATTGAAAACCATGAGATGACACCCACCTCCCCTCCAGCAACCTTCAGTTTGTTTCCTATTTATGGTTAGCCTCCCTCTCTGTTTTTATCTTATTTTATTTTTCCTTCCCTTCCCCTATGTTTATCTGTTTTGGTTCTTAAATTCCACATATGAGTGAAATCATGTGGTACTTGTCTTTTTCTGACTATTTCACTTAGCATATTATCCTCTAGTTCCATCCATGTCATTGGAAATGGCAAGATTTCATTCTTTTTGTAGGCTGCGTAATATTCCAGTGTGTGTGTACCACATCTTCTTTATCCATTCATCTGTCAATGGACACTGGGCTCTTCCCATATTTTGGTTATTATGGACATGGCTACTATAAACATTGGGGTGCATGTGCCCCTTCAAATCACTATGTTTGTATCCTTTGGATAAATACCTAATAGTGCAATTGGTGGGTCATAGTGTAGTTCTATTTTTAACTTTTTGAGGAACCTCCATATTGTTTTCCAGAGTGGCTGCACCAGTTTGCATTCCTACCAACTTACTTTCTATATTTCTAACTCCCTTCTCTGACAGTGAAAAATTTGGCTTCCATTTTCCTTAATATGTTATTTGCTCAAACTCTTTGTATGTAGCCAATCTTCCATTACCAGTACCACCACTCTGATCACGTGATTGACCTTCTCATCCTCCTTGGGCTGTGACCTCCATGCCAGGTCACAGACACTTGTCTTTAACCTTCTTGCACATGGGACAACTCTTTTACACTGACACCCTCCTCACAGAGGGTAACAATATTGGTTGACTTTCAGTATCCTACTCTGGGCTTCATTTTATTGTCTTGAGTATGCGTTTTAAAAATATTCATTGTGGTGAAATGGGAAGTATTCATTAAGCTCTTCTGTTGTATACCAAAGTGTGATGGTTGCCTTGAGGAAAACCAGTTTTGCAGTTGTTTGAATTGTGAGTCAAACTAGGTGTCCTTTCCCCAGAATACCACTTTGTTCTTGAAAGAATGCCCAACAGACAAACTTTTATTGTTCAGACTTAGGTAGTTGGAAAAATGTTCTTATAAGCATGCCTTTGAAGACAAATAACAGTATTTGTTGCCAATGATTAATTCAGACTTTCAAGTAAAAATTAGAATTGTGTGAAACAGCTACCATTTTGAGCTTTACAACTTCCCAACACATAAACATTTTTTTGATGAGATAGATGGTAATATTAACATACGATTTTTAATATATTGTGTAATGAAATATGTCAACATTTCAAAGATCTGCATAACTCAGTGAACCACTATTTTTCATATGACCAGTGCATGATATTACAAAATTATGCCTGGATAAAAGATCATTCATAGTGCAGTGGATTTTAAGGTAACCTAATATGAAAAGTTCATGGGTATAGTTGCATATTTCACATTGCAGCTAACCTTTAAGAGACTATCCCTTCTCGAGTTTTACTACAGTATCAAAGAGTATCATATTTATAATATAAAAAAATAACAATTACATATATGTGGGAGGCTAGATTTTCTTCATATACTTCAATCAAAATAGCATATTGCCACAGAGTGAATACAGATGTAGATATGAGAATCCATTTCTCTTCTATTAAGCCATATATTAAAGAGATTCACAAAAAATTAAAATAATACTTATCTTTTGTTATTTTGGGAAATATAATTTTCACAAATTTGTTATTTGTGTTAAAGGCAATGATTTATTATTTTCAAGTGAATTAATAAATATCTTTAATTTCTCAGTTTTAATTTCTAATATGGTAAATATCGAAAACTATAACTCACAGAAAATCTCGAGTCCTCAATAATTTTTTAACATTTAAAAAGAAGTTAAAACTATATTCATTTGCTAGCATTGTTAAGCCTTACTTACCAAGTAATTATAATACAGGTTCTTGCATGGCAATTCAGATTGGTTGAGCTAAATTCAAGTTTACTGAACTATTTATTGATGTTAGACTGCACAAAAGTGCACTCTTTTTAGTTTACATTTGACCATCTCAAAGTAGTTGTAATATTATATTGGTCAGTTTAAATACCTTGGTTTCCTTTTGGATATACACACAGTCCTTATACCCAAATGTTAATATATACAAAGCAATAAGACATTGTTAAGTAAAACAATAGTTACTGTAGTTTAGCTATGACCAAGTGGCCATGACTAAAATTACTTCCCACAAATACATCCACAGTACTTCTCTACCCTTTAGTAAATCAACTAAAATGTTATATAAAATCACCATTAGATAAAAATACTAACCTTACGTATTTTGTATTTGAAATAAATTTATGCATGAGCAAGCAAAGAATTCATCAATAATTTTTAAGAATATAAAGGATTCTGAGACCAACAAGTTTGAGAACTATTGCTCCAGATGATGGGTCTTTTAATACATGGTCTCTGTGAGGCCTCAGATGAATGCCTTTTTCCACTTAGGCTGTGTTACTCCAACTACCTTGTGGAGAGTCACTGTATGGATACATAAATTAATATTTGGTTATAGATCCAAGGGAGGGAATCCCTGCGTAGATTTCTGGGACTCTGTTACATGGCTCCTTTATTTACTTAACCTTGAACTACAAATTCCAGCTACCTTAGCAGCCCTGAACTCAGATCCTTTGCCCAAGTGAGACCACTGCTCTCTATTTGGAGAGCATTTTCCTGTACCTTGTTTTGGAGGATGCAGCCAGGCATAAAGGGTGAATATGAAGTTCTCCTGATAATCTTCTCTAAAAGTTTCTCAGCCCTGTGTCTAGTGTCCTGTTTTATAGCTTTTGGTTGGTTGTGGTTTGAGAGTTAAATCTAATACCGGATTTTTCTTCATAGCTAGGGCTGGAAATGTCTCACCCTCATTTTGAAGAAATTTTTTGCTTTATATAAAACTCTAGATTTTCTAGCTTTCTTCCTTCATCCACTAAAGATATCATTCCATTGTCTGGTAGCTTCCATTGTTACAGATGTGAAGTCAGCCATAATGTTTAGTTGTTCCCCTAACTTTCATGTCCCCCCTTCCCTGCCTCCTTTTACTATTTTTCCTTTCTCTTCAGTTTTCAACTGTTTGATTATGTTCTCAGTTGTTGCTTTGCTTTGTATTTATCCTGCTTGCAGTTTGCTAAAAGTAGGTTGATTATTCATACATTTCAAGAACATTTCAACAATCTTTTCAAGTACTTATTTGGTTTTGTCCTCTTTCTAGAATGCTCTTGCCTGAAGTTGGATTGTTTGATACTGTTGCGCAGATCTGACACTGTTCTTTTTTTCTTCCCCTTCTTTTTTCTCTTTGTGCTTCTGTTTGGGTTTTTTAGTTGTAGAATTTCTGTTTTACAATTTTAGAGTTTCCTTTTCTTTGCTGAAATTTCCCATCTGCTCACTGTCCATCTTTTCTTCCAGAATCTATAAAATACAATTGATTGGCCTTGCCTGTTGATTCTAATATCTGTGTCATCTGTTCTTTGTCTCTTTTGTGGTTTTTTTTTGGGGGGGGTGATTATATGTTGCACTTTCCCTGTTCCTCACCTACCTCATAATTTTTTATTGTGTGCCAGACATTTTGAAGAACAGTAAAGAAAAGTATATGCTCCTTTCTCAGTTATTTAGGGTGAGGGGGTGATAATTCAGATCCCACCAAGCATGGAGCTGAGCTGAGACTGAGTCTTAGCTTTTCTTAGTTTCAGTTTATTTCTGGTTTCAAATTAGATGTAAAAATCTTTCTTTTTTTTTTAAAGATTTTATTTATTTATTTATTTGACAGAGAGAGACACAGTGAGAGGGAACACAAGCAGGGGGAGTGGGAGAGGGAGAAGCAGGCTCCCCGCAGAGCAGGGAGCCCGATGTGGGACTCGATCCCAGAATCCTGGGATCATGACCTGAGCCGAAGGCAGACGCTTAACGACTGAGCCACCCAGGCGCCCCTGTAAAAATCTTTCTTTGCCGTAAACTTCCCACATGACCATGTGCTTATCTCTTTGATTGTATCAGGATTTGAGCGAAGTGGAGGTTGTATTATAGTTTTAGTTGGTTTTGTTTCACACGTTTCATCTCCAGTAGAGCCTTGGAACTTAGTAACTGCTTGGCTTGCAGAATTTTGTCTGCTTTCTATGCCAGCACCCAATCACTCAGAAAAATTCCTGTGAAGAAGTATTACGTAGTTTGATGTTTTGTTTTGTTTTGTTTTTTTAAGTATAGTTGACCTACAATATTAGTTTCAGGTGTGCTTGATTTTGTTTTTGAGTTTGGGGATTTTCTAGATTCCAGTTCTTCATGCCAGCCTACACAGTCATTAAAAGTTCAGCTGAACCACACTTGGGCACATAAGGGCTTGATTGATGGAAGGGCACATTTGGTTTAAGGGGTCATCCATATGGGGAGATAAGGAACTTGTTAAAGTGATCTTTGTGGAATCCTCCAGAAAGCTGTTAGATCAGAGCATTAAGATCATAAAAGCTGAAAAGTCAAAGCTGAGATTGTTGTTCAACAGGGTAGAGACATGATGCTTAGCAGTGAGCTTAATAAATCTCCCAATTCACTTATGGGTATTATTTCCAATTTGTCTTGTATTTCTCTGTTGAGGGTTTTTTGTTTTTTTTTTTTTTCCTGGTGAAGTTTTCTGGGAAAGGAAATAAAATCTGTGGTTTTCTTGTTTTCTTTCAGATTTGGAGTCAACATATGAGACCAAAAATACAATTTCAGAAAAAGACATTTTTGAAATAAATTTTTCCCAATGGGAGATGAAGGAAAGAAGTAAAACTCTTGGCCTTGAGGCATCCATTTTCGAAAATAATTCTAAGTGCAAAAGCAAATTTGAGGGACCACAGGGACATCAAGAGGGATACTTTAGTCAAATGATAATTAGCTATGGAAAAATGCCCACTTATAGAAAAAGTAAATCTTTTAGTGCACATCAAAGAATTCATAATAGAGAGAAACTCTATGTTTGTAAGGAATGTGGGAAGGCATGTAGTCATGGCTCAAAACTTGTTCAACATGAGCGAACTCATACAGCTGAAAAAAAACACTTTGAATGTAAAGAATGTGGGAAGGACTTTTTTAGTGCCTATCGACTCACTGTGCATCAGAGATTTCATACTGGTGAGAAACCCTACGGATGTAAGGAATGTGGGAAGACCTTTAGTTGGGGATCTAGTCTTGTTAAACATGAAAGAATCCATACTGGTGAGAAACCCTATGAATGTAAAGAATGTGGCAAGGCCTTCAGTCGTGGCTATCACCTCACTCAACATCAGAAAATTCATATTGGTGTGAAATCTTACGAATGTAAGGAATGTGGGAAGACCTTTTTTTGGGGCTCAAGCCTAGCTAAACATGAGATAATTCATACTGGTGAGAAACCTTATAAATGTAAAGAATGTGGGAAGGCCTTCAGTCGTGGCTATCAACTTACTCAACATCAAAAAATCCATACTGGTAAGAAGCCTTATGAATGTAAAGTATGTGGAAAGGCTTTTTGTTGGGGTTATCAACTTACTCGACATCAGATATTTCATACTGGCAAGAAACCGTATGAATGTAAGGAGTGTGGGAAGACCTTTAATTGTGGCTCAAGTCTTGTTCAACATGAGAGAATCCATACTGGTGAGAAACCCTATGAATGTAAAGAATGTGGGAAGGCCTTCAGTCGTGGCTATCACCTCACTCAACATCAGAAAATCCATACTGGTGAGAAACCTTTTGAATGTAAGGAATGTGGGAAGGCCTTTAGTTGGGGTTCAAGCCTTGTTAAACATGAGAGAGTCCATACTGGTGAGAAAACCTATGAATGTAAAGAATGTGGGAAGGCCTTTGGTAGTGGCTATCAACTTACTCGACATCAGATATTTCATACTGGCGAGAAACCCTATGAATGTAAAGAATGTGGGAAGGCCTTTAACTGTGGCTCAAGTCTTACTCAACATGAGAGAGTCCATACTGGTGAGAAACCCTATGAATGTAAAGAATGTGGGAAGGCCTTCAGTCGTGGCTATCACCTCACTCAACATCAGAAAATCCATACTGGTGAGAAACCTTTTAAATGTAAGGAATGTGGGAAGGCCTTTAGTTGGGGTTCAAGCCTTGTTAAACATGAGAGAATCCATACTGGTGGGAAATCCTATGAATGTAAAGAATGTGGGAAGGCCTTTGGTAGTGGCTATCAACTTAGTGTTCATCAGAGATTTCATACTGGTGAGAACCCTTATCAGTGTACAGAATTTGGGAAGACCTTTGTTCATGGCTCAAATCTTGTTCAACATGAGAGAACTAGTAATGATAAGCCTTATGAATATAAAGGATGTGGGGAAGCCTTTATATGGACAACTTATTCAAATGAAACAGTTGATACTGGTGAAACTTTATGATTGAAGAGATGAAAGAAAATTTTTTATGTGTATAAACAACTTAACATGAGGAATCTTAATCTTGAGAAAGCTTATGAATGTAGGGAATGTGCAAAAGCCTTATCTGTGTGTGGACAATTTACTTGATATCAGAAAATTCATACTAGTGAGAAATACTTTGAATATAAGGAATATGAAAAGGCCCTTAGAATTTTATACAGTCTTATTGAATATCAGTTTATACTGATGTGAAATCATTTAAATGTAAGGAATGTGTGAAGATCTTTATTCATGGCACAAAAGTCTGGTAAACATTGGGGAATTTTTACTCATTAGAAACACTTTAAGGGGGGCACCTGGGTGGCTCAGATGGTTAAGCGTCTGCCTTCGGCTCAGGTCATGATCTCAGGGTCCTGGGATCGAGTCCCGCATCGGGCTCCCTGCTCCTTGGGAGCCTGCTTCTCCCTCTGCCTCTCTCTCTCTCTCATGAATAAATAAATAAAATCTTTAAAAAAAAAAAAAAAAAAAAAAAAAAAAAAAAAAGAAACACTTTAAGGAATGTAGGAAGAACCAAAACCTAATTCAGTTTTTGCTGTGTGCATTAGAGAACTCATACTGCTGTGAAATTTTATGAATTTAAGGAATTTGGGAAGGCTTACAAATGTGATAAATATCTTAGGGTATATCATAGACTGAATGCAAATGAGAAACCCTTTAAATTGGGATCTAGGAAGGCCTTTAGACAAGAACTACTAGAACTGTTGTCTAGAGACTTGTGCCAGTCCACAAAATTGTTACCTTTCCATCATGAGATGAATGTGGAAAATAAGAGTAAGTGTTTGGAAACTTATAGCAATTTCATATTGCCATCACATTATCATTGTGTTTTATAAAAGTATCAATCAGCTCATGAATGATTAGAAGTTAAAAAGTTTGCCCTTTCCAAGAAATAATTTGAGAGACAACATTCAGTTTTAAAAACAGGAGACAGGTCACAATAAAATTTAATTAGAATAAATGCTTCACTTGTCACTTCTCTGATTAGAATAGCAGAATATTCACACTACAGGAAGATTTGGCTAATGTGTGAGTCACAACTTCCTTATGCCTGTAATAGCATAATTTATAACAAATAGTGTTCATTTAATGAAGGTATAGAAGCCTTCCGACACTATTCAACCTTTGTTAAACTTCAGCGAATTCATCCTGGAGAATAACCTTATCAATGTAACAAATACAGGAAATCTCTCACACATGGCACAAACCAAACTTACTGTCCTCACCATTCCACCTTCTTACTACCTATGGGTAGTATGCATCAGATCCTTGGAAGAGTATCTCGTATGTAGCCTAAGCTCAATACATGTTTGCTATTGTTCTTATTATCTTCATCATTAGTATTACTACTAGTGAATTCTTATGAAAAGAATGCTCATTGGTGTAATGAATTTAGACAAGATTCCATAACCACTCATCCATTTGAATTTCAGATAGTTCTCATTATGGATAAAATCTAGAAAAACACGAACTTGAGAGGATTTTTATTCAGAGTTTATCCCTTAAGCTGCATAAAAAATGAAGGCTGAAAAGAAATGTGGACTTAGTGTTAAAGATGCTGGGAATATACCTATTGAAGAACCAGGGAGAGGTGTGAAGCAATTTGCCTGTGATGAATAAAAACAGAGAAGTAGCCAGTGACTTAAGATTCTCTGCTCACATTTTGAGATAAATTACAAATTAAAAAAACCAAAAATTTGTCCGTTTGGGAATTCTTTCCCCAAATTTTATATTACAAATTTCAGGCACTTAGAAAAATTTAAAGAACAGTATAATAAACATCCATGTACTCTATTTAGAATCAGTAATTATTAACATTTGATCATATTTGCTTTCTCTCTGAAATTATAGGTATGTATGTGTACATATACTCACCAATATCTTATGACATAGAAGTGATACTTAATTCCTGAATATATTAGCATGCATCTTTTAAGAATAAGAACAGCCTTTAATACCATGGTCACACAAGAAAATTATCAGTAATTCTGTAATATTCTTTTATATTCACTTCATATGTCCCAATACTCCCAAGGTATCCTATTGCTATTTATTTTCTAACCAGTATCTTTTCTATATTCATGTATTGCATTTGGTTATCATGTCTCTAGATTTTAATCTTGAAAAGACTTTTTGAAATGTTAAGGAAAGCTGTTTTATAGAATGCCATGCATTCTGGATTGGTTTCTTCCCTCATGGTGAGCTTTAATTTGTGCCTCTATCCTTTGTATCTCTCATAAAGTCGAGTTAGAGCCAGAGACTTAAACATTTTTGGCCAGAATACATGATATTTGGTGATACATACTTCATATTGCAGTACACCAGAAACACATAATACCCATTTTTCTCACTACTGCCAATGCTAAGTTTGGTCATTTGCTTAAGATGGTGACTGCTAGAGCTCTCCATTATAAAGGTCCATTATACAACTAGTAAGATTGGTGAACCTTTTAACTACTTTTGAAAATGTAGTCCTGTCATATGTATATGTAAGTTCTGAATTAAAGATAAAATGGAAACAATTACAGATTGTTCAAAAAAGAATGATAGTTAAATTGTGTATCAGAAGTTGTAGAATGTGCCTGAGGCTCTATTCAGTGGAAAATACCTTTTAATGTGTCTTGGAGGAAACCAAGATGCATCTGGCCAGATGGAGGGCCAGAACTATGCTTTGTTTTCCCCAGTATCTGCACCATCCCTGTCACACTGAACTAAGAAGCTAGAAAAATAACAAACCCTAAACCAATATACAGAAGCAATTTATATAACTAAAATTGTCCCAGAATTTCTGAAATTATGTCTCAAAAATTACCAGTACTGAATAGTACTTGACAAACAGTGGGATTCTCTGGTTAATGAAGCCTATGAAGTAGAAACTACTAAATCCCCTCTCAAGGAAAAATCAAAAGCACCTAGTCAACTTAGAAAACTAGAGTATTCTATTGAATGAAATTGTTTGACCTCATTTAAACTGGTGATCTCAAACTTTACCATGGAAATACTGATGCCCATTACCTATTTGCATCTTAGGGATATGAAACTGCTTTGGGAATGCTGCCATAACTAGGAGGCCCTAAAGTTGGATATTTCAGTCACTAAGTCTGCTTGTTATGATGGAATGGTAGTTAGCATCATGCTCTCAAATGATTGCCTTCTAATGTTTTCTTTTATTCGTGAGTAAAAATCTTTGTTGTATCTAAGTCAAAAGGGCTCCTGAGTTATCAATGTCATTTCATCATCTCTTCCTGCAATTGTATAGTATTTAATTTGTTAATGTGATAATTTATATTGACAGATTGTTTGATTTTCTCCCATTCCTGGATATACCCAGGTTAATTATTGGTATATGTATGTATTCTGGTGCACTGCTAGATTTCACTTGCTACTATTTTATTTAGAATTTTTACATCTCATGAGTGAGATTATATAAAAGTTATACTTTTGAGGTATTTTTGTTAGTTTTTGTATTGCAATTACCTGTTCTTTAAAATTGTATGACTGTATTGGGTTATTTTGTTTTGAATTGGAGATCTTTAATCACTTTTCTAGTTCCGTCTGTTGATTTTCTTATCTTTGAAGTTCTACTTTGGACACAACAAATTCAGAGTGCCCAGCACAATTCTTTTAAGGAGGCTTTGCAGCCATGTAGTACCAGCTAAGATTCACATAAAAGGAGCATTACAACATTGAAAATCCTTCATTATGTCTTCTTGGGAGTACTATGTTGGGAAATCAGAGCTCCTTATCAGACTGTTATGATCGTACTTGTGCATGTTTTTCTCCATATACTGAAAGTGGAGTTGCTTGGGTTTGGTCATGGGTATGCCTATGTTCAACTTTAGTAAGTTTAATTTTTCTAAATAGGTTCCAAAAATTCCAACTGGCACTCCCACCAACTGTATGAATGTTCTGCTTTCTCCATATCCTTGACAATATTTGGCATCATCAATTAAAAAGAAAAGTGTTTGCTACTCTGGTAGGTATCATGGTTTACATTTCCATTCTTTTCTGATTATTTATTAGCTATTTGGATATTCTTGCAATATTTGTCCACTCCTTCCTCCTGACATTGGATGTATTAGGTGTGTCTGGTTTCACAAAGCATTTGTAAAACTTGTAGGACAGCATTTACCGCCTAGGCAGTGACTCTGTGTGTGTGTGTATGTGTGTGTGTGTGTTCCCCCACCAGACATGAGTTGGTGGCTGTGATGGCATCAGTTTTATCTCTGTATCTGTAGCTCCCAGTATGAACCATGACCCTTAGTTATTTGATGTAGTTAGGATACACTCAGCAAAAATCGAAATAGCAAACTAGCCTAAGCAATGAGGAAGTATATCGAGTCATATAACAGGCTTTTTTGGGGGGTGAGGAGAGAAGAGGTTCCAGAGATTTTTGATTCATCAGCAAAATGAAATATTCAGAGACTCAGATTCTCTTCTATTTTTCACTTTGTCTTCCCCAGTGTTGGCTGGGGTACCATGATGGCTGACAGATTTCTAGACATTATATACAGGCATGACAATACTGAGGGAAAAGAGTAGGAGAGATCATTTTCTGTGACTCTTAAGGGCAAGGAACATTTCCCATTAGTTAACAGTATGTTTGCTCTTAAACCTAATTGTTAACTTGGGTCATGGGTAATTTCTGAAGTAATCACTGGTATACTTTAAATTAATTACAGACCCTTGGAGTTTTTATTTAAATGTAGCAGGCTCATAAATTTTATTATCTTTTTATGCATGTATGAAGAAAGAACCAGTGATCCTTTATTTTAACAACAAAAAATTTTACATGTATATATTTCATAAAACAGATGACAGTTTAAATTAAATGCATATATTAAGACCATCAAGTATAATTACAGACTAATCAGAGGTTAGTGTTTATTTAAAAAAGATAGCAAAAATTCTGAAGTATTAAATTCAGTATTAGAACATTTACTAGGAGTTTTTTATTTTCTGATTTTTTTTTTTTTGTAACTATGAGGGACAGGGGAAATATTAATGGTTTAACCTTGTAAAATTTTTTCATTCTTCCAGAGTCAGAGAAGCCTACTTTTTTAAGTTTAATTCCTGGAATTCTGTTAGCTTTAAGGATGAGAAGACCAAAATTAACAATGTGGAAATGAAACAAAGGTGTGATTAGAATTTGGGGGAAGGGCGCCTGAGTGGCTCAGTTGGTTAAGCGACTGCCTTCGGCTCAGGTCATGATCCTGGAGTCCCGGGATCGAGTCCCGCATCGGGCTCCCTGCTTGGCGGGGAGCCTGCTTCTCCCTCTGACCCTCCCCCCTCTCATGTGCTCTCTCTCTCTCATTCTCTTGGTCTCAAATAAATAAATAAAATCTTTAAAAAAAAAAAAAAAGAATTTGGGGGAAGGGCGCCTGGGTGGCTCAGATGGTTGGGCGTCTGCCTTCGGCTCAGGTTGTGATCTCGGGGTCCTGGGATCAAGTCCCGCATCGGGCTCCCTGCTCCTTGGGAGCCTGCTCCTCCCTCTGCCTCTCTCTCTCTGTCTCTAATGAATAAAAAAAAAAAAAAAAAAAAAAAAAGAATTTGGGGGAATATATTTACTAAGTTTACTTTTATAGCACACAAACATAGTGCTAAGTTCAAAAGAAATGAGTGTTATTCTCTCCCCTTTTCTCAAGCTATACAGTGACTCTTTAGGGACAACTACATTTTTCAGCGTCTTCTGTATTCTTGGGCAGATAGTCTATGTAAATTAGCAGAATTTATTGCCTCAGAGTAGACATTCAAGATTTGAAAATATTCCATTAATGCATCATAATTCAGTGACATCCATATACCATTATTATGGATTTCACCAATAAAAATTTTGATTCAGTTTAATTCTACTATTCCTGAGTGTTTACTGTGGAGAAGTGGGTCTGCATTATCCTTGGCCACAATTTTTTAATATCCATCCTAACTGGTTGCCTTCTATGCCTGATGCTCAAGAGATGTGGCCTCCTCTACCACCATCACTAGGGGGGTTTTCTTCACTTCTCTCCTATATTGAATTTTTACTTTTCCATTCATTTAGCTGGTGGAAAACCTCTAGTTGCTTTCTTGGAAGGGGTGATTTTGAAATAATTCATGTGGTTGAAAAAATTACCCTTCTGTTTCTAGTATCTCCTTATTTGGGCCATATTGTGTTAAATTATTTATGCCTAGGTATAAATGATTGCTTTAAAAATTTTTTTTAAAGATTTTACTTATTTATTTTAGAGAGAGGGAGCGGAGGGGGAGGGGCACAGGGAGAGGGAGAGTCTCAAGCAGACTCCACGCTCAGCATGGAGCCCAGAGCCCAATGCAGGGCTTGATCTCAAGACCCTAAGATTATGACCCGGGCCGAAACCAAGAGTCAGGCGTTTAACTGACTGATCCACCCAGGTGCCCCTAAGGTATTGCTTTTAAAAGTCCAGCCCCTGAGGTAAATGCCTGATGTCAGTGATCTACCAAACTTGGACCAATAGATTCCATTATCTGCCAGGCATTGGTACTCCATATTGAGTATAGTGCAGGAGTTGGCAAATGTTTTCTGTAAAGGGCCTGACAGTCAGTATCCTAGAGTCTGTGAGCTACAGGGTCTCTATCACAGCTACTGAACTCTGAGGTTGTATCTTGAAAGAAGCCATAGATAATATGTAAGTGATTGAGTGTGGCTGTGTTCCAGTGACATTTGACATGACATTAGAATCTCATAATTTTCTTTCTTTCTTTTTTTTTTTTTGAATCTCATAACTTGCAACTACCACAAAGGACTGTCCTTTGATTTCTTCCAACATTTACAAATGTAAAAGTACCCCCCCCCCCCAAAACTGTAAAAATCATTCTTATTCTTTGCTGATTGGCCAGAGCCACAGAAAAAAAGGCAGTGGGCCAGATTTGGCCCATAGGACAAAGTTTTCTTCTCTTTTTAAAAATGATTTTATTTATTTATTTGACAGAGACACAGCGGGAGAGGGAACACAAGCAGGGGGAGTGGGAGAGGGAGAAGCAGGCTCCCGGCTGAGCAGGGAGCCTGACACAGGGCTCAATCTCAGGACCCTGGGACCATGACCTCAGCCAAAGGCAGACGCTTAATGCACTGAGCCACCCACGCGCCTCCCAAAGTTTTCTGACTCCTGTTATAGATGAATAACTGAAGAGTCAACAATCATGCTGTAATGGGCATTTTATTTGACCCATGGAGATGGACATTGGAAAATCCAAATATAAATAAAGTTACACAGTATGATGAATGATAATGAAAAAGAAGAGGATTTTGAGAACCAGTGATGGATGATCTTGATTTAAATAGAGATATAAGGAAGGCCTGTAAGAGAATAAATAAGCAGCAGTTTGAAAGGTGATAATAAAGCTTATGGCAAAGACAGGGAGAAGAGAATTGCCAGTATTGCAAAAGCCCCAAGAGAAGAAAGTGCTTGAGACTGAGAAGAACTAGAAGAGGTTCAGAGGTGTGGGAACATCACTGCTTTGTGTTCACCTCATCTCCCCTTCATGAAAGCTTAGTTCTGATTTAAATGTTTAAATGTCATTTGGCTGGATCCCCTTTCTTAGGAGTTCCCTTAGACAGTTTATGTGGGTCCCTACAGTAAATGGCATAATTGCTGAGCCCTTGTATGCCTAAAATTTCTTTCTTTTGCTCATGTGTTAGTCTGGGCTTTCCAGAGAAACAAAACCAATAGGATGCGTGGATGGATAGATATAGATAGATGATAGAGATAGATAGATGATAGAATCTATAGAGCTCTGCATCTATCATCTATCATCCATGTATCTATCTATCTATCTCTATCATCTATCTATCATCTATAGAACCAATAGTATATATAGGAAGACGGAAAGGGGCAGGAGAGACAGAAAGAGAGGAGATGGGGGCCAGCAAGTCCCAAGATCTGCATTTGACAAGCTGGAGACCCAGGAGAGTCAATGGTATAGTGTGAGTTGGAGTTTGAAGGCCTGAGAACCAGGAGAGCTGATGGTGTAAGTTCCAGTTGGAGACTGAGTCAGAAGGGAGGAGGAGACTGATGTCCCAGCTTCAAGATAAACACAGAAAGCTTTCTTATTTAGCCTTTTCATTTTATTCAGGCCTTCCATGGATTGGGTGAGGACTGCTCACATAGGGGAGGGCAATTAGTCCCCTGATTCAAATGTTAATCTCATATGAAACACTCTCACAGACACACCCAGAAATGGTGTTTAACCAAATACCTGAACACCTGTGGACCAGTCAAATTGGCACATAAAATTAACCATCACAGCTCTCACTTGATAGGGGGATTTTGGCTAAAGCAGTAGATGATGTTGGTGTTCAACTCAATCATTGTCAGTTTTTTCCAGCAACAACATGCCTTATCCCACGGAGGGTGACTGAGTAAATTATGTTTATACTTAACATGTGCCTGGTACAGTGCTAAAAGTTTCACATAATTAACTTTTTTTTTTTTTGAGAGCGAGCACAAGTGTGGGAGGGAGACGGAGAGAGAAACTCCTAAGCAGGCTTCACGCCAGCACAGAGCCTGATGCAGGCTGGATCTCTCAACCCTGAGATCATGACCTGAACCAAAATCAAGAGTCAGATGCTTAATCGACGAAGCCACCCAGGTGCCCCATAATTAACCAATTTAAATCTAGCAGCAAACCCCTGCACATGTGGTAATAATGTTGCCATTATAACAATGAGCAAAAATAGAGCTTATGAATATTAAGCAACTTGCCCAAGGCCCACCATTTCCAAGTGGGATGATATGGATTTGAGCCATATTGGTTGTGTTTCAGGGCCTTTAGGGCTGAACCACTCTTTATTATACAAATATTAAAAGGAATTATCTTAAGGATGATGAAACTTGAATTTCAAATTTTTATCAACTAGTTAGAATTAGCCAGTGCCTAATATTAAATGTACCTTTAAAAATACTGTTTATATTACACATTTATATTTTACGGCACATCTATAACTTCACAAAGTTGAGGAGACCTATTTTTTTTTTTAAAGATTTTATTTATTTATTTATTTGAGAGAGAGAATGAGAAAGAGAGAGCACATGAGAGGGGGGAGGGTCAGAGGGAGAAGCAGACTCCCTGCCGAGCAGGGAGCCCGATGCGGGACTCGATCCCGGGACTCCAGGATCATGACCTAAGCTGAAGGCAGTGGCTTAACCAACTGAGCCACCCAGGCGCCCCGGGGAGACCTATTTTTATATGTAACCTATTTTTTCTCATTTCTTGAGAACTTGTATCAGTCATTATACCTCTACATAATTATTATTAACACCTGCCCAGATTTCCATTTTTTGGAATAGAATACTGTGCCTATTCATAATTATTGTTTCCAAAGTTTGCTAATATAAATAATCCTATGGAAAATATAACTTGTCACTTTAACCATTACCATGAAGTATATTCTTTTAAATGGGTTGCATTCAAGAACATATTTGTTTTAAATAGGGGCATAAAATACTCTCTAGGAAAGTTGTATATGAATTCTTTTACACCAAATTAATTTGGAATTAATAGTGCATGAAAATTATGGTACAATGGATATGATTTTTATAAAAATTTGCTAGTTTTTAGGCCAATATGGAATATTTAATGACATATCTATATTATTATCTCATAAATTTAGATATATTTTCTTTTTTTAAAATATTTTATTTATTTATTTGACAGAGATAGTAAGAGCAGGAACACAAGCAGGGGGAGTGGGAGAGGGAGAAGCAGGCTTCCCACTGAGCAGGGAGCCCAATGTGGGGCTCGATCCCAGGACCCTGGGATCCTGACCTGAGCCAAAGGCAGATGCTTAACGACAGCCACCCAGGCATCCCTAGATATATTTTCATGTACACATTTATTTGTATTAAATCTCCATTTATATCCTTAGCTCATTCTTTTTCACATCAGTGTGTTCATCTGTGTATTGATATATAAAAACTGCTTATTGGGGCACCTGGTTGGCTCAGTCAATAGAGCACATGACTTGATCTTGGGGCTGTGAGTTCGAGCCCCATGTTGTATATAGAGATTACTTAAAAATGAATCTTTTAAAAAATTGCTTATTAATTCAGTCAAATATTTTGTTTCTCATATGTAGAACAAAAAATTTGTGCTTAATTTGCTTTTAACTTGGCAAGGGGGTATTGAAACAGGAGTGTTGTTTTCACAGATAAATCTGTTAATTATTTACTTCATGATTTCACTTGGATATCATGCACTCAAGATTAAGAATTATAGGGGCACCTGGGTGGCTCAGTTGGTTAAGCGACTGCCTTCGGCTCAGGTCATGATCCTGGAGTCCCAGGATCGAGTCCCACATCGGGCTCCCTGCTCAGCGGGGAGCCTGCTTCTCCCTCTCCCGCTCCCCCCTCTCATGTACTCTCATTCTTTTTTTTTTTTTAAAGATTTTATTTATTTATTTGACAGAGAGAGACACAGCGAGAGAGGGAACACAAGCAGGGGGAGTGGGAGAGGGAGAAGCAGGCTCCCCACAGAGCAGGGAGCCCGATGCAGGACTCGATCCAGGGACTCCAGGATCATGACCTGAACCGAAGGCAGTTGCTCAACCGACTGAGCCACCCAGGCACCCTACTCTATCTCATTCTTGCTCTCTCAAATAAATCTTTAAAAAAAAAAAAAGATTAAGAATTATAATAGTCTTCATTTCTATTTTATAAATACACTGGTAGTTTTCTTCATTATTTTTCTTATTGTAATATATGTTGACATAATGTTTACCATTTTAACAATTTTTAAGTGCACAGTTCAGTAGCACTAAGGACATTTACACTGTGCAAGGACTACTACTGTCCATCTCCAGAACTTTTCACCATCCCAAACCAAAATTCTGTACTTCTTAAGTAACTCCCCATTGGCACAGCCTCTACTCCCCCAAACTCCTGGTAACTACTATTCTACTTTCTGTCTCTATGGATTTGACTTTTCTAGGTACCCTATATAAGTGGAATCATACAATATTGTCATTTTGTGTCTGGTTTATTTCACTTAGCATGACGTTTTCAAGGTTCATCCATGTGATAGCATATATCAAAATTTTCCTTTCTTAAGGCTGAATAGCATTCCACAATATATATACATATATGATAACATATATATATGTACATATATATATATCACATTTAGTTTATCCATTCATCTATTGTAGACACTGGGTTTTTACTACCTTTGGCTATTGTGATATAATGTGAACATTGGAGTACAAATATCTGTTGAAATCCCTGCTTTCAATTTTTTGGGTATATATGTAGAAGTGGAATTGTTGGGTTAAATGATAATTCTATATTTAAAATTTTGAGGGTTGGGGCACCTGGATGGCTTAGTCATTAAGCGTCTGCCTTTGGCTCAGGTCATGGTCCCAGGGTCCTGGGATCGAGCCCCACATCAGGCTCCCTGCTTGGCGGGAAGCCTGCTTCTCCCTCTCCCACTCCCCCTGCTTGTGTTCTTTGTCTCTCTGTGTGTCTCTCTGTCAAATAAAGAAATCTTTAAAATTTTGAGGGTTACCATATTGTTTTCCATAGCAACTGTACCATTTTACGTTTCTACCAGCTGCACAAAGGTTGTAGTTTCTCCACATCCTCACCAGCACTTGTTCTTTCTTCTTTCTTTCTTTTTTTTTTAAATAGCCATCCTACTGGGTGTGAAGTGGTATCTATTTGTGGTTTTGATTTGCCCAATTTCCCTAATGATTAATATTGATCATCTTTTCATGTGCTTATTGGCCATTTGCATAGCTTCTTGGGAGAAATATCCAATTCATTTGCTCATTTTTTAAAAAGATTTATTTATTTATTTTAGAGCACGAGCATGGGGTGGGGGGAGGGGCAGAGGGAAAGGGAGAGAGAGTCTCAAGGAGACTCGGCACTGAGCACAGAGCCTGACACGGCTTGATCCCACAACCCCGAGATCACGACCCAAGCTGAAACCACGAATCAGATGTTCAACCAGCTGAGCCACCCAGGCACCCCTATTTGCTCATTTTTTAATTGGGCTGTTTGTTGTTTTGTGGCTGAGTTGTAGGAATTCTTTATATATTCTGGATATTAATCTCTTGTCAGATAGATAATTTGAAATATTTCCTCCATTTCTGAGGGCCACATTTTTACTTTGTTTATAGTGACTGCTGATATACAAAGGTTTTTGATTTTGATGAAGTCCAACTCATCTATTTTTGGTTTCCTGTGCTTTTAGTGTTATATCTGAGAAATCTTTACCAAATCCAATTTCTTTTTTTTTTTTTTTAAAGATTTTATTTATTTATTTGAGAGGGAGAATGAGAGAGAGAGCGCATGAAAGGGGGGAGGGTCAGAGGGAGAAGCAGACTCCCTGCCGAGCAGGGATCCTGATGCGGGACTCGATCCCAGGACTCCAGGATCATGACCTGAGCCGAAGGCAGTTGCTTAACCAACTGAGCCACCCAGGCGCCCCAAATCCAATTTCATGAAGTTCTCCCCCTATGTTTTATTCTAAGAGTTCTATAAGCTCTTCCTTTTAGGTCTTTGATCCATTTTGAGTTAATTTTTTTATTTTTTAATGATGTGAGTTAGGGCCCAGCTTCATTTGCATGTGGGTGTTCAGTTTTCCCAGCACCATTTGTTGAAGAAACTGTTCTTTCCCCATAAAATGGTCTTGGCCTCCTTGTCAAAAATCAATGGACAATATAGTGTATGGGTTTATTTATGGTCTCTCAATTCTATTCTATTGATCTGTGTGTCTATCACTTATGTCAGTAACAGTTTTGATTATCATAGCTTTGTCATAAGTTGTGGAATCAGGATGTTTGAGTTCTCTAACTTGGTCAGGTTTTAAAAATAATCCATATGCACTTCAGCATGTATTCAGTGCATGTTAAGTGCATGGCTTTTATAATATGCTCATAAGATCAAATATATTCATCATGCAATTTTTATCTGCTTGAAGTATCATTTACTGAGCGATGTGTTAAAATCTCCCACTATGTGTTTGAATTTGTTGCTCCTTGTAGCTTCTAGCATCACTTTTGTCTCCAGGTTCGTTCATTTTGTAACATCCCAGGTAGCCCCAGCATTATTGACTTTCCAGTTTCTGTTTTCACTTTTGCCCCCAGTGCAGATTTCTTTAATATTCTTAGATACTCTGCTATATAAGCACTCGATAGAATATCTGTCAGTATTTGAGATAATTTTTCTATTTTACTGAGCATTTTTAGTTGATTTGTAGGATTTTTCTGCTCCAAATAGAAGTCTTCACATCATTTCATGAAGTCCTGCCAGATTCTGTTTGTTTTTGGTGCCTACCTACCTCAGCCCCCTTTACTATTATTTCATAGCACCTAGCTGTACTGCATTATAAGTATCATATTACTGGTCTACCTTTCTAAGTCAACAGGCAGATATATTTCAGATTCATCTCTGTGTCCTCAGTACAAGGGCTATCTCTGTAGGTTAAAAGAAGGTTCTTGGTTCCAGCATCCTGATGGGAAATGAAATCACAAAGTGTCAGAGGTCATTATTGGAACTTACACAAATGTAGTAAATAGTAGGCTGGTGGAAGGAGGACTTTAAATATTTGTTTCTGGGCTAGGTGGAAGAAGGGTCAGTCACATGTCTACAGGGGATAATTTGAGTCTGAGAATTCACAGGAGTATTTACTTATTCCAGGTCCTAGGGCAAAAACTTTCATTCTTACAGTGTCAAGGACATAAACTGTGTATCTGGTTCTATCAGGAATCAAGCTCAGGACAGATTAAGGATAGACATCCTGGCCTAGACCTTAATCCTGAGACTTCTCTCTGTGGGTCTAGTTTCAATTCTACCCTTTTAAGAGAAATTGTAACACCCCTCTGCAAACTTTAAATGAATCAGTATGGCATCTCTGATAGGCTGGAGTACTATTTCCACTCTTGAAAGAACCTAGGGTTCCCAAGGTTGGAGGTAGCAGTTCAGATTTATCAAGCCCGAGTTTCAGAATGGAATTATTGTAAATTGGCTAGTTAGGAGATACAAAACATGACTGTTCTTTCGTGGATTGTAGCTGCTCTTTCTGTACCTGCCTTAAAGCAGTTTTCTATCTCAATTTCACAAAGATAGACATGGGGGAACACTCAGTTTAAAAGCCAAGTATAGCAGGCTTTGATAATTCCACTAACTTCTGCTAATGCTCATTGCTTATGTTTCCCAAGCGTAGAAGCATTTATTTTATTTAAGCTCCTATCTTGTAATATTCTGTTTTTTATTATGTTCAGTTAGCCACTGTATAGTACATCATTAGTTTTTGGTGTAGTGTTCAATGATTCATTAGTTGCATGTAACACCCAGTGCTCATAATATTCTATAAATTAACTTGGCTCCTCTTCCCCAAGGGATGGTCTTAAATAATAGCCTCTAATGACTTTTCTTCCAAAGCTCATGTAGTCTTTCAAAATGTCATTTGGCACTATTTGAATTCTTCTAGAAAAGCAGAAAAGTATGTCCTAGAAGGGAAATAAAAATGTCTCCCCCTTGCAGGTATTCTGAATTTTTGATGAGGTGGGAATGAATACTTACATGGCAATATTCATGTAAAATCTCTGCTCTGTTTTTGATTGAGATGAGATAGGAACATGTGATGACTGTTCTTAGTATACAGTAACCTGGATGAATCAGTAAAGATTGTTTGGCTATAAAAAATGACCCAGAATGACTGGTTCAACCAGGAAAATTTTTCTGTCACATAAAATTCTGGAGGTGGCAGTCTAAGCCGGGTGTGGCTCTGCTCCAAAGTCCTCCAGACCATCTTATCCAAATCCAGGCAGTGGAATGGAGGCATGGAGGAAGGAAGAAAGGGAGATAACCAGGTGTGTTTAAGGTAGGTTCCTTCAAACTGCCACACAATTTCAATTATCTCCAGTTGGACATAACAGAAGAGCCATGGACCAATAAGGTGGGGGAATCATCATCCTAGTGGTGCACACAAGGAAATAAAGGAAGAAAGGAAGATTGATATGGGGGGGTAATTAGCAGACGCCCTAATTCAAATACCAACCATGGAACCCGACTTCCTGGATGCCAGTATTGAACAAAAGATCTAGTAGGCTGGAATTAAATGATTGAAATGGGGGCTTACCGGTACACTTACAGTATTTGAGAATCTTTGTGGAATTTGTGGTCTCTCACATCCCATCATGTCCTGCTGATTGTCCTTAATGTGTGAAAAATATTTGATTTTTTTCTACAATCACAGCTGTAGTGAATCTTCCTTATGTCCAATCTGGATTATTGCAATGCCTAGTAATACTGGACAGATACCTTGTATTCAGTTTTTTCTGATGCTCATCTCATTCCCACCCTACATCTAATCTAGTGTATATGGCCACCAAATTGAACTTTCTAAGACACGTCTAGTGTGACTGAGAAACTGATTTAAATTTCATCCAATTTTAATTAATTTAAATATTAAAAAAGCAATGTAAAATATTTTACCATTACTGACAACTTTATTGTTTTGGTAGGACTACATTTCACTTCAACCATTGCATTGCATAGATTTTATTTTTGTATTATAGTGTGCATGTAGTGTATATGTTTCTAGGGTTACACATAAACACATCACTGACCTAGCTGATGTCAAGCAATTGATGTGTTTATTTGGATATTTTATGAAAGCAACATGAGTTACAGTGATATGAAGGAAATAATTGGTAATTAAATGTACTTATTACTTTAATTACAGTTAAATTATTCTAGGTTAAGTAAGTGTGTACTGATTTTAAAACTTAAAATGAGGGGCGCCTGGGTGGCTCAGTCATTCATTAAGTGTCTGCCTTCGGCTCAGGTCATGATCCCAGGGTCCTGGGATTGAGCCCCGCATCGGGCTTCCTGCCCCGCGGGAAACCTGCTTCTCCCTCTCCCACTCCCCCTGCTTGTGTTCCTGCTCTCGCTGTCTCTCTCTCTGTCAAATAAATAAATAAAATCTTAAAAAAAAATTAAAAAAAAAAAACCTTAAAATGAATACATATTAATGATGCATAGTCAAGCAGAGGCCAGTACTGTGGCCAGAATAGTAAAAAAAATAAGAGACTGGAAGAAGTACTGTGAATTTCACAACAAATGCCAATTACAATTTGCTGTGAATAGAGCAAAATAAAAAAGCTGGTAGATAATGTACAAAAATTAAGTTAAAGTAGAGAATATTGTGAGACATTTGCAACAAATACATAACACATTTGATGAGAATTTTCCTTTTGATAACCAAAAAGAAATAGATAAAATTAGTTGCCTGAAATTATAATTAAATGGGCAACCAAAATTTTAAATAACTTTGAAACATAATCTGAGCTTATAACTTTGTGTAGCTATAAAATGGCTTTGTGTGTTACATACACAAAACACCAAATTTTAAGTGGAAATATGGGAAGATAAATTATTACTGTAGTTATGGAAGTTTTGTTAGGATATTATGAAAAAAGAAAAATTATATTGTATAAAAAGTAAAAAAAAAAAATTTAAGCCACCAGTCAACTGCCTATAAAAGATCTAACAATATCAAAGATTAATTCAAAATTAGTAAAGCTACATATATTCTTCTCTAGCTTTAGATGAGTTGTACAATATGAAATATTGCCCACTTAATACTCTGGGTACATTTTGCCTCAAAAGACTTCCAAATCAAATAGAAATGTTGTCAATTTGCAGCCTACAAAATCAGAGTCATAGCATAGATATTTTAAAATATTTTATATATGTCAAAAAAGAATTTCCACTAGATACAAAAAAAATAATTTCTATTATGATTAAACAGCTATGCTAAGTTAAAAATGTGAATTCCGTAAATTTTAAAGAGCTTTGTCTCCCTAATTGATTTGCTCCACAGTATGAAAAGTATGATGGTTTAGTATATATGGGTAAATATGAATCACTGTCACTTTATGGAACTGTTGAAAGAAATAGAAAACAATGAATTTATTTATGGTCTTTGCCAATGTTCATTGGTTCAATGGTTGAAGAGTTTTACAGATCTTTTACAAAGATTTACTGTATTTTGAACTCCAAGGCTTTCTTTAAAAAACTACTTGGCAAATATTTCATAATCAAGACCCCCAAAATGACAGTGTGATTTGTTTTCTCACCAGTATCACACTACATATAAACAAAGAAAATCTGGAACGCCAAGGAAAGGAAAAGCTGTTTTTGTGACCTAACTAAAAGGGTAGGAATATTTCTGGAAACTGATACTTTTCATAAGTTAAAAATAATTTTACTTATTTTTCTATCATGAATCAATATATGAAAGATTTTCACTGGAATCAAAAGCATTGTCAAAATATACAATGAAGAAACAGGAAATCTTAGTAAAGAAATAGAAACTATATTTAAAAAACACTAAATGAAGATAGTAGAACTGAAAAGTGCCATATCTCAAACATTTGATAGATAAGCTAACAGCATAATTGAGATGACAAGAAAAAGAATCAGTAAATTTGAAGATAGAGCAATAGAAATTATCCAATCTGAAAAAGAGAAAAAAGGCTGGAGAGAGTCACTAACAGAGCCAGTGACCTGTGGGACAATATCAAAAGATTTAACACAAGTACCTGGAATCCCAGAAGGAGGAGAAGCAAGGGCAGAAAAAAATATCTGAATATGGACAAAATTTTCTGAAATTTGGGGAAAAGTGTAAGTGTACAGATTTCAGAGGCTCAGAGAACCCCAAACAGGAGTAACATAAAACCACACTTAGACCAGCATTCTCAAATAGATGAAAACCAAAGGTAATGAAAAATCTTGAAAGCATGCAGAGAGAAATGACATATACAGAGGAAAAATAATTCAAATGACTTCTCATCATAACCCATGGAGGACAGGAATCAGTGTCTATCTTTTTAAAAATACACACAAACCCCAGAATTCTATAGCAAGAAAAATAATCCTGAGGCACCTGGGTGGCTCAGTCGTTGGGCATCTGCCTTCAGCTCGGGTCATGATCCCAGGGTCCTGGGATTGAGCCCCGCATGGGGCTCCCTGCTCGACGGGAAGCCTGCTTCTCCCTCTCCCACACCCCCTGCTTGTGTCCCCTCTCTTGCTTTCTCTCTCTCTGTCAAATAAATAAAATATTAAAAAAAAAAGAAAAATAATCCTTCAAGAACAAAGGCATTTGGTAAAAGAAACTGATAATTCACCACCGGCAGATGTGCACTCCAAGAAATGCTAAATTAAGTTCTTCAAGCTGAGGGAAAGTGATACCAGATGGAAATTCAGACAATTGGGAATTGGTAATTGGGAAATCAGGAAGAGCATGGGAAAGGGTAAATATATGGGTAAATGTAAAATATGAGGGTTTTGGGGGGGTTTTAATTTCTTTTTTTTTTTTTTAAAGATTTTATTTATTTGACAGAGAAAGACACAGCGAGAGAGGGAACACAAACGGGGAGTGGGAGAGGGAGAAGCAGACTCCCTGCCGAGCAGGGAGCCCGATGCGGGACTCGATCCAGGGACTCCAGGATCATGACCTGAGCCGAAGGCAGTCGCTTAACCAACTGAGCCACCCAGGCGCCCTTAATTTCTTTAAAAAAATTTTTTTTAAAATTATGTTCAGTTAGCCACTGAATAGTACATCATTAGTTTTTGATGTAATGTTCAATGATTCATTCATTGCGTATAACACCCAGTGCTCATTACAACACTTGCCCTCCTCAGTACCCATCACCCTGGAGAAGATATTTGCAAATGACATTACAGATAAAGGGCTGATATCCAAGATCTATAAAGAACTTCTCAAACACTCAAAAAGTCAAAAAGTGGGCAGAAGACATGAACAGACACTTCTGCAAAGAAGACATACAAATGGCTAACAGATACATGAAAAAATGCTCAACATCACTAGCCATCAGGGAAATACAAATCAAAACCACAATAAGATACCACCTTACACCGGTTAGAATGGAAAAAATTAACAAAACAGGAAACAAATGTTGGCAAGGATGTGGAGAAAGGGGAACCTTCTTACACTGTTGGTGGGAATGCAAACTGGTACAGCCACTCTGGAAAACAGTATGGAGGTTCCTCAAGATGTTAATTTCTTTAAAATAATAGCCTGTTTAAATTTCTGAGTGAAGTGCCAGTGTGACTTTACATGGATTACTAATTGCAAAGAAAAAAATATACCAATACAATGGAGGGAACTGGTGGTCAATACATGAATCAAGAGATCAAACATAGTTTCACTTGTATGCCACCTGATATTTTATATTAAATACATTATTATCTATGAAGTAGTCTTATAAAAAATGTTTAATCTGAAACTTAAGCCTCTAGACATAACCTTCAGTTCACAATAAATACAAAGGATAGAGGAACAAGTTAAGCCCACCTTGAGAAAAAGCAGGACAAATATGGAATCACAACATTATATAGGTTACTTCTTCTGAGTCTTCAAAAAATGTAAGGAGGTGGAGGGTAAATTCTTGACCAATTCTTATTAGACCCAATAAGCTGCAGTCATATAAAATACATGAGCTTAGTTTGGTTTTTGGCTTTTAAAAAGCTGGCACTTGTAGAAGATATTCTTTAGCCAATCAGAGAAATTTGTAAATGGGCTGAACATTGTAGAACAATATAGGATTATTATTAGTGTTTTTTAGGTAACAGTGGTTTAATGGTCATCTAGAAGATTACCCTTAATTCTAAGAGTTGTATGTTGACTTTTTAGAGGTGAAGTGATATCTAAAACATTCACTGAAAAACACAGCAAAATGATACATGTAAAATATATTCAATATATATGATATATATATGCATCTGTATATATAATGTTCATATTTATGAGAGAAATATCATATATATTGAATCTAGGTGGAGGGCAAACAAACTTCATTGTAACACTGTTGTACCTTTTATGTAAATTTGAAAACTTTCAAAAACTCAAGGAAAACCTTTCCAAGTTAACCTAGGTCTTTGGCTACCAAATTGTTAAGTTTTTAATTTATTTCAGTTGTAGGGCATGAGGAATGTATGTTATCTGTATTACAGAATTTATTGTAAGAAACTTACTTCAAACTACTCTCCAATTTTTCACAGCTGAACTCACAATATCCAATAAGGGCACAGTGTTTCTTTTTTTTAAACCTTTTTTATTTTTTAAGATTTTATTTATTTGACAGAGAGATAGAAGAGCACAAGCAGAGGGAATGGCAGAGGGAGAGGGAGAAGCAGGCTCTGCACTGAGCAGGGAGCCTGATGTGGGACTCGATCCCAGGACCCTGGGATCGTGACCTGAGCCGAAGGCAGACTCTTAACCATCTGAGCCACCCAGGCAGCCGGGCACAGCGTTTCTTATTATTAATCTTCAGGGGGTTGAGCTTTGAATAAAAAAGTGTCTTGTTTAATATATTCTATGGGATTTTGTCCAGAATTAATTATCTGAAGAAAATATGGATGAGCACTGATGCATTTTAAAAATATGGTTATAGGGCGCCTGGGTGGCTCAGATGGTTAAGCGTCTGCCTTCGGCTCAGGTCATGATCCCAGCGTCCTGGGATCGAGTCCCGCATCAGGCTCCCTGCTCCTTGAGAGCCTGCTTCTCCCTCTGCCTCTCTCTCAATCTCTCTGTCTCTCATGAATAAATAAATAAAATCTTAAAAATATATATATGGTTATAGGGTCTTCTTCCTTCCACATGAATTTATGTAGAGTAATAATGGTGATTATCATTAAAAAAAACCACAATACTTAGTAAGCAAATACTATGTGCCAGATGCCCCTCTAAGCATTTAAAGTTTGTGTTAAATAATCTTTACCATAACATCATTGGGTGGTAGAATAGTGATAATGATAAAGGATGTGCCAAAGGTAAATGCTTTCTGACTCTCATTACATCAGGAGTTTCTCACCACTATGAAATCTTTGATGTTGAGTAAGTTGATAGCAACGAGTAAAGGCCTTTCCACATTCCTTACATTTGTATGGTTTCACACCAGTATGAATTCTCTGATGTTGCGTAAGTCGATCACTACGATTAAAGGCCTTCCCACATTCTTTACATTCATAGGGTTTTTCACCAGTATGAATTCTCTTATGTTGAGAAAGACCTGAGATAGAACGAAAGGCCTTCTTACATTCTTTACACATGTATGGTTTCAAACCAGTGTGAATTGTCTGATGATAAATCAGTTGAGAATTAAGTCTAAAAGTTTTTCCACATTCCTTACATTCAAAGGGTTTTTCCCCTGCATGAATTGACTGATGTGTTTTAAGGTCTCCAACACGACTGAAGGCTTTCCCACATTGTTTACATTCATACGGTTTCAAATCAGTATGAATTATCTGATGTTGAATAAGGTACGAATGAAGCTTAAATGTCTTCCCACATTCTTTGCATTCATGTGGCTTCTCGCCAGTATGAATTCTTTGATGTTGTGTAAGTTGAGAGCCTCTACAGAAGGCCTTCCCACAGTCCTTACAATCATAGAGTTTCTCACTACTGTGAATTCTCTTATGTTTAAGAAGGCTTGAACCCCTGCTAAAGGTCTTCCCACAGTCCTTACATTCATGCGGCTTCTCGCCAGTATGACTTCTCTGATGTTCAATAAGTAGATAGCTGCGAACAAAGGCCTTTCCACATTGTTTACATTTATATGGTTTCTCACCAGAATGAATTTTCTTATGTTGATAAAGACTTGAACGATGACCAAAGGCCTTCCCACATTCCTTGCATATATAGGGTTTCACACCATGATGAACTTTCTGATGTAGGCACATATGTCGGTACAATCTAAAAGTCTCCCCACATTCCTTACATTCATAGGGTTTCAAACCGATATGAATTTTTTGATGTTCAGTAAGGTGAGAATAACGTCTAAAAGACTTCCCACATTGCTTACATTCGTAGGGTTTTACACCAGTATGAATGATCTGATGTTGAATAAGCTGTGAATAAAACCTAAAGGCCTTCTCACATCCATTACATTCATAGGGTTTTAAATCAGTGTGAATTTTTTTATGTCTAATAAAATGCTGGAGAACTATAAAGGCTTTTCCACATTCCTTACATTCATAGGGTCTCACACCACTATGGTCTCTCAAATGCTTGGTAAGGTGTGAATATTTTCTAAAGCCCCACCTACATTCCTTACATTCATAGGATTTCTCTCTAGGGTGAATTCTCTGATGTAGAGGAAGAGATATATGTTTTATAAATGTCATTTGACTAAAACATCCCATGTTAGGCACCTGTTCTCTCCCAAATTCAATTCTGCACTGTGGGTCATTTCTGAAAATAAACCTCGTAAGGTTGAAGGTTTTACTTCTTTTCATTGTCTCCCGATGGTATGAATTTACTTCATAACTGCTTTTTTCTGAAGATAACTTGTTGGTCTCAGTTGTAAAATCAATGTCTGAAAGAAAACAAGAAAATAAAAATAAACAAAAAAACAAAAATAAACAAATAAACAAAGCTATTTTCCTATACTGGGGATGAGGAGGGGCCTTCTAGAGTAAAAATAGTGATGAATTGAGAAGTATATTCACTAGAAGTAAAAGGGTCATAAAATCCTAAAATACTGTCATGAAATTTTTAAAAGGCAAGAAGGCCTCAGAAATTATGAAAGTTCATAATGAGAACTATAAAGTTTGTGAGTAGGCAAAGAGAAAAAGTCAGTAGTTCTCATATTTAGTATGGATCAAAATTATAGAGGGAGCTTCTTACATACACTACCTTTTAGATATCTGCTGAGACTGAGTGAATCAGAATCTAGAGGAGTAGGTTCTGGTCATCTACATTTCTAACATTAATCTATCAGATGGCTTTATGTAATTTTTTCAATGGTTTGTCTTTATTTTAGAATAAAACCCTAAACACATAATCATGAATAAAAAGGATCTGTCTTTTTACACAAATTCATCTCAAGCCCTTGGCATCTTTTGTTCCCTATATACTATCCAAATGCATCTCTTCAGCTACTAAGACATATATAACCTTTCCCATTTCCTGGGACTTCACACAGGTGCTCCACCTTTCAGAAATCCTTTTACCTAGTGCCTTTAAATTATTATCTTGCAGATTAGAAATCACTTCTTCAGAAAGGCTGCCTCTGCTAACTCTTAAGTAAATTCATATCCTTTATTCTATATTCCAACACCTAATTTTTATCTTCAAAATACTTTTCTCTATTACATATTTATTTTCTCATTTGTTTTACTACTTATTTTCTTACTCTAAAACTCAAAACTTCTTTTAACTACTACTGCGAAACAAGTCCTTACCACAAGGTAAATATTAATTGTAGGATAAAATACTGAATTTTAAAAATGAACTTGGATGAAGGTAAAAGTAAATAAGAATGAAAATTAAGGTTACTGGGGAAGGCAACTGAGTAAAATATCCATTTAGTTTCTGAAAATTATGCAACAGTTATCCACCATCTCTCCCTGATTAATCTCTCATACCTTATTACAGTAAAATATGTTTTCTATCATTTACCTTCTATGGCCTTTAACTGTACTGCTGCAAACTCTTGGACTAAAAGGCTTACATCTAATGAAAAACTAAAGAATTAAAATGAATGAATTAAATATTAAATCAAAAATTAGAAAAAGAATGATAGTCTGCTGAAGGAAAACAGAAAAAGGGAAATGAATATAATAAAAACAAATTTTAAGTAAAATTGTACAATTAACACATGCAAACAAACCAGTAGCCTACCTATTCAAGGAACAAAAGATAGGAGGAAAATCTAAACACAATGACAGTGGGGAAACAGTCATCAATAAGGAAATAAAAAATGTTTAAGAAACCCATACAAGATAACTATGCAAATAAATTTGAGATGTACATGAAACGATGAATTTTTTGAAAATATAATTTATAAAAACTGACCCCAGTTAAATTTACTGACTTGCTTCTAACAAATAAAATATGAAAAGGGGAAAAAATAATAACTTTTCAATGAAGAAAACCGGCAGACACCACTTTATACAAGTTTTTAAAGTTAGCACCCCACTGATAAATCATGTTGATATCATGTGCCCCTAATATACAATGAGAAGGGCACTTCTCTGGTATTCTTCCCCCAAATCCATAATCTCAGTTTAATAATAAGAAAACACATGGGGCACCTGGGTGGCTCAGTCGGTTAAGCGACTGTCTTCGGCTCAGGTCATGATCCTGGAGTCTCAGGATCGAGTCCCACATCGGGCTCCCTGCTCAGCAGGGAGTCTGCTTCTCCCTCTGACCCTCCTCCCTCTCGTGCTCTCTGTCTCTCATTCTCTCTCTCTCAAATAAATAAATAAATAAAAATCTTTAAAAAAAAAAAGTTTTCCTCTCCTTTAAAAAAAAAAAAAAGAAAAAAAAGAAAACACTAAACACACCAAAATTTGGAGGCACTCTACTAACCAAACAGTATCTTCAAAAGTATCAAGGTCAAGAAAGAAGGAAAAACAGAAACTGTTACATTTGGAGGAAACTAAGGACACAGGATGACTAAAAGTAATGTGGTATCCTGGATTGGATCCTGAAACAGAAAAAAAGACATTAGTACCAAAACTGGTGAAATCTAAATAAAATATTTATAGTATTGTAAAATGTTAATTTGATAGTTTTCACAAATGTACCATGGTTATGTAAGATGTTATCATTATGGGAATTATATACTGGAACTCTTTGTACCACATTTGTAAATCTGTGAATCTAAAATTATTTCAGAATAAAAGTAAGACCATAACAGAAACAGATTCCAGAAGAGATGGAAAATCTAAACAGACCAATTTCCACAGAATAGTTTTAAAAATTGTATATTTATCTCACAAAAAGGTGATTACAATTAGCTTCCCTGTTGTCCAGGTTTCAGTCCCTGTAAACTATTTCCCACTGATGTTAATGAGGGTGCCTTAGAGAAATAGCTAATTCCTAGTCCAGGGCAGGGAAGATACAAGGTGAATCTAAGACCTCTTGTACTAGAGTGCAAAGAAGCTTTCAAAGACAGAGTTAATAATTTGTGCTTTTGGTCATGTAACATTAAGAGGGATCAAATTTGCCTTCCTACCTTAAACAACTAGAAAACCAAACAAAATATATGAAACAACATCTTTCAAATATTGGAAAATAGTACAGGATAGAAATCTCCCGAGGGAGGGGAAACAAATGAAGTGTGCTCCACAAGTACCACAGCTGACTGTCTAAAGAGAATTTCTAGAAAGAAGCACATGGAGGAGAACCTAAGTGCAGCTGTATCCCCAAGTTGAGAAGACAGAGTAGAGAATTAAGGGAAAGAAAGAAGTGCAGAATTTGCAAGGCAGAGTACTAGAGAGGAGGGAGCTGCACAGAGAGATCTCTGGAGATCTGTAGAGGAATCCCCTTGATACTGTGGCTGAATGTGAATCTGGGCATCTGTATGAGGAAACTAATGAGAACAAAGAATGTACTACTAGATAGGAGTAGGCAGAACATCCCCTAGAAGTCACAAAGGGCAGGGGATAGTTCTTGTTTCCACCAACCACAGTGGAAAGGCCCCATACCACACAAGGCATCAAACATAGTCCCCAGAAGGATATTGCCTCAGTAGTGGGGCCAAGTTAGCCCTAGACTAAAAGCTGTTCTGGACCCACCCTAACAAAGCTTAAAAGCAAACCATGAAAGGATCAACAGATTCCAAATTACATACCTACATCCAAGAACAAAGCCCAAATATGTAAAAGAATATTAGAAAATCCAACATCCCAACACAGTAAACTTCACAATGTCTGGCATCTAATAAAAAATTATTAGGCATGTAAAATAGCAGGAAAGTATGACCCTTACTAGGAGAAAATTAATCAAAAGAAACACAACAAGGAATGATACAGATAATATAATTAGTAGATAAGGATATTGAAAGAGCTGTTTTTACTTTTATTTTTAAAATATTTTATTTATTTATTTATTTGAGAGAGAGGGTGAGAGAGAGCATAAGCAGGGGGAGAGGCAGTTGGAGAGGTAGAGGCAGACTTCCCTGCTGAGCAGGAAGCCAGATGTGGGGCTTGATCCCAGGACCCTGGGATCATGACCTGAGCCAAAGGCAGACGCTTAACTGACTGAGCCACCCAGGTGCCCTGTTTTGTTTTGTTTTTTTTTCTTGAGTGGAATTTTTTATAGATTAAAAATTTCTAATGATTTATTTCATTTGATTTCTCAAAGTTTTTGGCAAAATGTTTTTCAAAATACCATATTTTCAAGGCTTCGTGGTTTGTAATGTGGTGCCTTTTTTCCTTACATAAATTTTTTTTTCTTGATTCATGTTGATAGAGTTGCACCACTTTTATTCATTCTTTGAGAGAACCAAATTTATAGTTGTGACTTGCTCTTTTGTATGTTTGGTTTTTATTTCATTAATTTCCATTCTTTCCTTTATTATTTCCTTTCTTCTACTTTCTTTAAGTCTGTTGTGCTCTTCTTTTCCTGGCATATCAAATGGATGATCAGCTTATTAATTTTCAATATTTCTTCTGGAATCAAAAGATCCATTGGGGGCGCCTGGGTGGCTCAGTTGGTTAAGCGACTGCCTTCGGCTCAGGTCATGATCCTGGAGTCCCGGGATTGAGTCCCGCATCGGGCTCCCTGCTCAGCGGGGAGTCTGCTTCTCCCTCTGACCCTCTTCCCTCTCATGCTCTCTCTCATTCTCTCTCTCAAATAAATAAATAAAATCTTTAAAAAAAAAAAAAAAGATCCATTGGGAGAGGAAGCTTGAAATCAAAACACATAAACAATAAGAGCCATGAAGAAGTGGTGAATTGGCCCTGAGGATCTACCACTTTTCCCCTGCAGAAACTTACTTATTCTGAGTACAGCTAGCAGTAAAGGCAGTGATTTAAAAAAAAAGGTAACTAAGAATTACCAAAACTGAAAACCAGCACCAACCCAGCTCAATCCCTGATTATATTATAGTGATCAGCCTGCCACTCTATCGATTAATAGAGGAAAGTATAAATACTCTAGTGGAATATACCATCATCGGAAACCATTCAGTTATTTTTTTTTTAATGTTTTATTTATTTATTTGAGAGACAGAGAGAGAGAGAGGGAGAGAAAGCAGGGGGGAGAAACAGGAGGACAGGGACAAGGAGACTTTGTGCCAAACACAAAGCCCAATCGAGCGGGGCTCAATCCCACAACCCTGAGATCATGACCTGAGCTGAAACCAAGAGTCAGATGCCCAACCGACTGAGCCACCCAAGTGCCCCCGTTCAGTTCTTTTGTACACAATATCCAGCATACAATCACAATTACTAGTAACTTGAAGAGGAATTACCATATGATGAATAACAAGAGCAAAGAAGAAATATAAGCATGCCCACAGATGAAAAAACAGTAATGAAAGAAAGTAAATAAAGAATGAGAAGAATTTATATAAAATTAGATGTTATAAGACAAATTGAATTTCTAGAACTGAAAAAGACAACATATGATATGAAAAACCCATCTTTAAGAGCAGACTTATCATAGCAGAATACAGGTAAGTGAGCTGAAATACAGGTCAACAGAAAATAATAGAGATAAAAGGAGATATATACATGATAGAACTGTGAGATACACTCAAAAGATCTAACATAGGTATAACTGGAGTCCCAGAAGAGAGGAAAGAATGGTCAAGTATTTTTCAAAAACTGAATGAAGACTTTCATTTCTTAGTAGAAACTATAAAATCACTGCAAGCCAACATTTCCATTGCTATAAGTATAAAAATAATACTAAAAAGATAATGTTCTTGATTTATTCTACACTGTAAAAATTACCAAGGTTCATTTGTAGCAAAGAGAAAACCAGGACCCCATGTTACCTGTTTTCCATGTAGGTGGACCAGCAATTAAAATGGAATATTTGTAGATATTCTGAACATACACATAATATGAAATTTGTTTTCTTTGCCATTGGCTATTCAGAAAAAATCCTAGAATTCAAATCTTTATTTTGGAAAAAGAAGGAATTGCAGGATGGGGCAGAGGGAGGTAGGAAGGTAAATGAAAGAAAAGATTCAGGTGCTGACTGGAGATGCCCATTTCCATCTAACAAAAGTCAAACTAGGCTCTGAGAATATGGAGAATATGAATATGGAAAAATTTATCTAGTTTCTCAGCATACAGCATAAAATATACAGTGGAGAAAACAGCTATTCCAGATAGCAGATTCTACATCACTTCAGGCAGATGTCCTTACCCAGGGAGACCAAGTTAGTATAATTCTCCAACATCACATCTCTGTACAAATCCCTCTGATCAGAATTTAGGCATTCCCACTCCTCCTGAGAGAAGTCTATGGCAACATCACTGAATGTCAATGGCACCTGCAAAGACAAACCCATGTATTATTCATAACAGTAAAGAAAAAATGTTCAAGATGGAATGACCGAATTGCAGTAAGGGGGCAATATAGAAAAACAAATAAGCTGAAGTTACAAGATCATGACACGATTAGATGAGAATAAATACATTAGCTTCTGAAGTAGAGTACCAACACAGTCTTGGAAGAATCCTGTTGGAGTGCACAAAATTTCTTTAAAAATAAAGGAAAACTCAAATACCTAAATGTATGAAAATGAATAAAGTAAACAGACTTTCCCAATTAAATGAAACAGTATATATAAGAACATTACCTACTATGTACCCAATTCACATACTATTAGTAAATACAAGTTCTTATGTCTTTTCTCTTCAAGGACTATGTAAAAAGAATTGTTCATTTTTTCTCCAAAATGAATTATAAAATCTCTTACAGCTAAGATGGAGTAACATGGATTGGATTTACCCTCCCATGTGAAATAACAAAAAACATAGACAAATTGTATGAAACAATGGTTTTTGAGGCAGAAAATATTGGGTAGTGATCCCTGAGAGACAAGTAACAAATGAAGTGAGCCTTATGATTGCTTATGAGTGGCTTACTGTTAGGAGACAGTATTACTACACAATTATTAGAATGGCTAAAATTTAAGACTGACCATTTTAAGTGTTGCCGGAGATGTGAAAAAAAAAATGGAACTCTCACACACTGATGGTGGGATTGTAAAATGGTAAATCACTTTGAAAAATAGTTTATTGATTTCTTAAAAAGTTAAACATCCATATTCCCCAGTCATTCCACTCCTAGTGTTTATCCAAGAGAAATGAAAACATATGTCCACACAAAAGTTTGTGCATGAAGCAGCTTTACTTCTAATAGCCAAAAAGTGGAAAGAACTAAAAAATCCATCAACAGAGAAATGGATAGACAAATTTTTGTATATACTGAGAATAGAATACTAA